GCTGGGTACTTGCTAGCTCTTACACACACACAAACTTTGCACTGGCTGCAGAAATCTAGAAATCAGACCGATGGTCTCTATCCAAACATGATCTAGACCTCACACGTTCAACCTTTTCAGACCTAAGACCCACTTTTAACCCAAACATGCATTTGGGGACCCATTTCTCTCTTTTTTTACCGTATCTTTGGATGGTAGTAGTACTCCTGTTCTGACCCACCTTGGATCAGGCCACAATCCAGTAGTGGCTCCTAACCCACCAGTCGGAAGACCAGCGATCTAGATCTCTTCCTTCTCTCCTTCAGACACATTGGCTTACAAGAATCCAAACCAGCCAGTTTCCAGAAAAGCTAAGTGGACACTCTCTTGGTGATCTATAAGGTGAGATGGGGGTCTTTCCCCCTCACCCACCAAATCAACCTCATGTAGACTGAAGGATGCCCCTCAAACCCTGGTTCATGACAGCGGACAGCAGAACCTCGAAAACAACACCTTTTAATGTCTCAGTGCCAAAGAGGAGAGTTCATCGCTCTATACAGAGCATGTAACTACAGAACTGAGAGCTGGTGTTTATAAAATGGGATGTGCTTGTGAGCATTTTTCTATAAAAATAGACATCTGTGCATTTTAGAAGGCGAGGGGCTGTGATCCACGGAGGCGGCATTGCCCTTCCTAGCACAGGATGAAGGCTGTTAGGATCAGAGGGCCTGCGGTTGCGCAGCTAATGTGAAGAGAGGAAAGAAAATAGAAATAAATCAGCCACATCAAACACACACCTAGAGGTGTCATTCTGAGTCTGCTTTCAAACTCCTGGAAAGGAATCATCTCTTTAAGTCCCTTGACCACAGGAGCCTCCAGTGTGTTAAAAAAGAAATTTATAAGACCTGTAGGTTTTGGGGGGGTTGTGGCTTTTTTAAACAGATGTCACAAGATGCCAGACTGCTCTGGCTCTGCCACCCTCAAAACAGAAAGCTAGGAAGTTGGAGAGGAGCACAGTGGAGGGCTGGACTAGAAGACTCGCTGGGTCCCCTTCCAACTCTGCTATGGTTTGGATTTTATTTTCTCAAAACATGTATAGAGACCAGGGAGGAGGGAAGCTGCTTCAAAGATCCAAAGAGAAGGTAGGCTCCCACCAGAAATTGCTCCTACAGCTCCTGTTGCTCAAGGCAGTTGCAGTTTGGACTTGTTCCCTTACAACAGTCTTTTTGCCCGCCTGGTGCCCTCCAAACTACAACTCCCACCAGCCCTGCCCAAAGCTCTTGAAGGGTGCCAGGCGGCCTCAAGGCTGCTTTGCAGATTCCACTGCTGATGCCAGGACATTGTGGTGACGGCTGAGTAAGGCCACCAGGAAAAAGATGAAGAGACCACAAGTCAGGGGTGGGGAGCCTGTTGTCCCTCTCAGACGTTACTCATCAGCCAGCAGGGCTAATGGACAGGGACCGTGGCAAGAGCTGTAGTGCGTAAAAGTCTAGAGGGCCACAGATTCCTCAGCTAAAAATAAATAAATGGGAGGGAGGGGAACACCAGATGGCAGCTTCTAGGGATAAATATGAAATGAACAAACGATGCTAACAAGCTTTTTTTGGAGAGGGGAGGGATGCAAATAGACCACACAGCACTCTTCCAAGTTGGGTCCCCTGAAGTTGTTGGACTACAACTCCCATCATCCCTGATCATCTGGGGACCCAAGGCTGAAGAACACTGCTGGAAGGTTGAGGGATTCTCAAACATCTATCCGGTTGGAGAATCATTTCAGGGAGCAGGTGCACCTCAGGGAAGAAAAGCACAAATTTAAAATCTGGCTTTCTTATCGACCCATCAAAAAAACAGGAAATAGAACCTGCATCCGGATGGAATTAAAATTGCAATTGGCTTCCCTCGGTGGGGATTTCTGGCTTGCTCAGGCCCTCTCAGCACACACACACACACACACACACACACACACACACACACAATTCCCCACTATGCACACACACAAAACATTTAGACCAATGGATCTGATGCAGTTTTTGCAAACTATTTTAATTAAAATATTAATTCCTTGAATAAGTCCAGGGTCTGGCACGTGATGAGATATACATTGGGGGGGTGGGGAGGGGCGGGAAGAGAAAAACAACCTGGTTACAAGACCACAATTCTCTCTCTCTTTTTTTTTGTTTTGTTAAGCGCTAATGTTGAAATGGGGCGGCATGGAAGGGGAGGGGGTGAAGGAGGCAGCAGTCAGGCCTTGTTTTGCATCACACAAACAAGATTATTTTAGGAAAGAACACGCCCACCCCCTCCCAATGTGGAGCCTGCCCAAAATTTCATCATCAATGCAAGCAAAAAATGCATGAATGAAGCGACAGGGAGGGGTTCTCAAGTACCGCTCATAATTCAGCCCCCACCAAACTGGGGCTCTCCAGCGGCTTCGGACTACAACTCCCATCAGCTGATGGGATTTGTAGTCTGAAGCAGGCAGAGGGTCCCAGCTTGGCCAAGGCTGGCTCATATCATTGCTCCTTGGTCTGTGCGTTTGTGGACATGCTTGGGAACGAGAGGCGTTCCCCTCTTTGCCCCCACCCAGAGAAAAACATTCAATATTAGCACCATGTTACTGATGTGGTACTGCCTAGAAACGGAGACCCATTCCAGGGCTCCAAGGTGGAAGGGCCTCTTGGAGTTAAATGACAATGTTCTTCTCTCCCCCCCCCTTTTAAAAATAAGTTAACTAGTTCAAATTTCACGTCAAATGGAAAGAGAAGAGGCATGAGAGTTCTCCTCTCTGTGAAGTTACGTTTTGCTGGAAGGATCTGAGTACTACTGAGATCTTTTTCACGCGAGATACACAGAACACATGGGCAAAAAGGGGTTTGCCCACTGCGACCCTTTCAAGAGAGTCACTAATATGCTAGGACAATGGTGCCCAAGTCAAGATTCTCCCCACCCATTTCCACCCCCCTGGAAGGGGCTGATTTGGCTTAGTGGCCTCCTGCTTGTTCCCAGTGCTATGATCAACCAAAGATCTGGAGGGAGAGGGAGGGGAGAGGGAGGGAGAAAGAGAGAGAGAGAGATTAAGGATCTGGAGTGGTTGTTTTTTAATTTAGCTAAGATTTTTTTTTTTTAAAAAAGAAGTCACACTGATAAAAAAAAAAAGAACTGAGCTGCAGTGTGAAAGACATTAGAGTATTTTTCTATACAAAGATGTCGCGTTGGACACCAAACACATTCGGAAGAAACCTTGCAATTCTGAGCCCTATAAGATGTGTTAAAAGGCAAAATAAAAAATTCTAGAGTTAGTTAGCTAGTGTTTCATTTGCTTAAATGTGCAAGGGAATTTTAAATTTTTTTTTACAAAGAACAGCCGAGGGAAGCAGCTCCTGTAGTGAGGAGACTCTCTTTCTTTTCCTTTTCTCGTAACCTTGGGCCAAGCTGCTCTCTGCTTAGCCCCTGGGTTGACGCGAGTCACAGTACCTCTTTTGCTGCCTTGGCAACTGAGGTCCCAAAGATCCTGAGCGCAAAAGGAGAGGGGCGTGTCTAGCTCTCCCAAAAACCTTGTTCTCCAGCCGCCAGCCCCAGAAATCTACATGTGTGTGTGAGCATGCACAGTGGCTCTTTGGAAGCAGAGCCTCTGGGCAAAAGGTCACCAAAAGCAGTCGCAAATGGCTTTAAAAACGGTGCGGGGGGGTCCCCCACCTCTCGAGAACTCATGCGAAGGACGGGTCGCATGTAGCGTAAAACGTCAATGGAGGCAGCTTAACAGGCTGGTCAGCAGCAGGGCAAGAGAGGCGAAAACCACCCCCCCCCCATGGCAACTAAAACACACTCAGAAACACGTTGGCTACAGCTTTACATGTAAACGAGGAAAAAACTGTGGCAAGCCCAAGGTTAGCCCCCCCCCCCCCAAAAAAAAGAATCTGGCAAAAAATAAAATAAAATATGTAGTGTCAGAAAGGAGAGAGATCTCCTTGCCTGCCCTAAATGGCGTGTCTGAAACTTATGGCATCAATCACAATACCTCTGGAAATTTGGACTGGCTGGCTGAAAGTCTTTTTTATATATATAGAAGTTTCTGAAGAGCAGAGCAGCCAGGCAGGGGAGGAGGGTGCGATCCCGGGCGCCTCGCGAATTGTTCTGATGCTTGACTAACGTGAGATGTCACAGTATTAAGCTAGAAAACAGCAGACCCTCCCTGGCCTTGCCTCTTCCCCCTCCAGCAACCACACAACCATACACACACACACACACGCACACGCACACACACACACAACACAGCCTGTTGGGCTGAACTGCAAACAGGTTTCTAGCAGGTGCATTTGACTAGTGCAGTTCTGTCCAAGCGATCAGGTGTGCTCCAAGCGAGCGGCTTCACCTTAGTGCAACGGGGAGACAGCATGCGCCAGCGGGGGGGAGGGGTGTCCAGAGCTGTCTGCTTGCCCCCTTTCTCCCCCCCAGCTTCTATCAGCAGGTACGGTTCCCCTCGCCCTCCTGGACCTCCTCTCTTTAGTGGCACACCTTCCCCCTGAGTCCCTTTATAGCAAGAGACTGGCCCCCAAAGAAGCAGGGAGAGGGGAGGGGCATTTAAATACAGAGAGAGCGAACCAAGAACCCACGGGGTTTGCCCTCCCAATGTGCCTAATTCACCAGGAGCTTGGGCTGGGGGAGACCCTTCCTTCCTTCCTTCCTTCGCTCCGTTAAGAGAGAATGGCCTCCCCTGACCCCTTGCCACTAAAAAAGCTGCACCTCTCTCCCGGACTCCAAACCGCTTTCTTTAAAATAATCTTTCCTTTTTCTTAAAGAAGCTAAGAGAGACTCTGCAGCCAAATACTATGACATCCCAATTAGTAAACCCAAAACATTAAATGCTGCCCGAAATGAACACGCTCGCCAGTCGGCACCCGGAGTCCGTGCTGCCCGGGTCTGGGCTCCCGGGGAGGGGGGTGGGGTTGCCCCTTGGCAGCTTCTGTTGGCAGACAGCTCCAGTGGACTTGCCACCCTCAGGGACAGACCTCTCGAAGCTATTATGTATAAGACATGTGTGACCCATTGGATATTTGCGACGTGACGCTCGTGCTCCTGCTCATGCCTGGCTCCGTCCGTCCCCCGGAGGACGTCCGCCTCAGAGCCTGGGGGCTGTTGCGGACCCCCAGCGAGCTCCCCCGGGGGACTCCCTGCATGGGCCCAGAGGGGTGACCCCAGGGCTGGGGGCCGCCTTGCATTGGGTGGCCCCACGCCTGCGGCGGACCACCCATGGGGTGACCCCAGTGGGGCCCTGCGCCCCCGGAAGGGTTGTGGGACCAGCTGGAAGCTCCCGGGTAGCTGTGGCTGAACGCCTCTGGGGAGAGGTTCGAGAGGACCATGTTGCTGAAGCCCAGCCGCATGCTCTCCGAGTCAAACGCCTCAATCTCCCGGGCCTGGCGCTCCAGCAGGCTTCGGATCCGCTCCGTGCGCTCGTTCTGCAAGGCCAGCATCTCCTCCTCGATCTGGGCAGGACAGAATTGGGTGGGGGTGGGGGAAGATGGGGGGGCGGGGTTAGATCGGAACAGCAAATACTGAGCAGGTGCCCCGCAGCGACTTTTAGAAGGCGGTGAAAAAAGCGGTGCTGATGCAACCCTCGTGCTGATGCAAAACAGGTGCTGCCGTTCCCCAGCACCACAAACCGCAATCCTAACAAACACTGCGACCGGTTGGCCTCGGCCTGCGAGAACTGGCGCTTCACCTGCCCTCATCAATCATGGCACACGTTAGTTATTAACAGACTCCGGCAATGGATTAGGGTGTGGCTGCTTCCACCCCACAATAGGCAGAGAAGTTGGGCAATCAGAACCTGCCGCCTGGCGAACAGGATTTAGGTGGGGAATTGTCATCGCGCCACTCCTTGGTGTGTGGAGTGCCTCAGGATGCGATACTCTCCCCGATGCTTTTTAACATCTTTATGCGCCCCCTCGCCCAGCTTGTCCGGAGTTTTGGGCTGGGCTGCCATCAGTATGCCGATGACACCCAACTCTATCTGTTGATGGATGGCCATCCTGACTCGGCCCCAGACACACTGACCAGATGTCTGGAAGCTGTGGCTGGATGGTTACGTGGGAGCCGGTTGAAGTTAAATCCTTCGAAGACAGAGGTCCTCTGGCTGGGACGGGACGATATGGGATTGAGGGGGCAACTCCCATCTCTTGCGGGGGTGCAATTAGTGCCAGCACCGTCTGTTAAGAGTTTGGGTGTAATCTTCGATAGCTCCCTCTCTATGGAGGCGCAAATTACAGCTATAACAAAGGCGGCATTTTTTCATCTCCGTCAAGCTAAGCAGTTGGCTCCTTATCTCTCTCGCCCTGACCTAGCCACTGTGATCCACGCGACGGTCACCTCCAGACTGGATTATTGTAACTCGCTCTACGTGGGGCTGCCCTTGAGACTGACCCAGAAACTCCAGCGGGTGCAGAATGCCGCGGTGACACTCCTTATGGGGTCTTCGCTGCGAGACCACATTCATCCGGTACTATACCAGCTGCACTATACCAGTGGAGTACAGGATCAGGTTTAAGATGCTGGTTTTAACCTTTGAAGCCCTATATGGCCTAGGACCCTCGTACCTACGGGACCGCCTCTCCTGGTATGCCCCACAGAGGAACCTACGGTCTGCAAATAAAAACATCCTGAAGGTCCCAGGCCACAGAGAGGTTAGGCTGGCCTCAACTAGAGCCAGGGCTTCTCGGCTGCGGCTCCAATCTGGTGGAACGCTCTGTCACAAGAGACTAAGGCCCTGCGGGACCTGACATCTTTCCGCAGGGCCTGCAAGACAGAGTTGTTCCACCAGGCCTTTGGTTAGGGCGCAGCCTGACTCCCACCTCTGGCAACCTGAACAGAATTTTGCTTAACAGTTGCCATCCATTTGATTGTAATTAATTTTTATAATTGAAATGTTTTTAGAATGTTGGATTATTTGATTGTTTGATTATTTGATTGTTGTTAGCTGCCTTGAGCCCGGCTTCGGCTGGGGAGGGCGGGATATAAATAAAATTTATTATTATTAAGCCACAAAACAAGCCATGAGGGGAGAGCTCACCAGCTTCCAGCCTAGGTTTTCTGCCCAACATCCACACAATCCAGACAAATTAGGGTGTCTTGCGTGAAGACCCCTGCTCACTCCCTGGGGCTGTCTTGGGGGTGACTCACTGTGGAGGAGCAACTAAGAGCCCTCACATCTCTGAGGGCACAGAGTCTTGTTGGCGGGGGGTGGGGGGCAAGCGGCCTTCCTCGCCATTGCAGTGGGTTGGACTAGATCATCCTTGTGGTCCCTTCCAACTCTTCTATGATTCTTTACAGACGTGACCAAAAGGCCTTGACTGCATCGGAAAATAAAGCACATCTCTGCTCAGTCATTTTGCTCACTAGGTGACCTTGGGCCAGTGACTACCTCTCAGCCTAACCTACCTTGCAGGGTTGTAGTGGGGATTAAAGGAGGAGGAGGAGGAGGAGGAGGAGGAGAATCATGTAGGCCACACCTTGAGCTCCTTAGGGGGAAAGGTGGGACATAAATGAAATAATATAAAATAAAAGGTAAGCACCAGCATGCACCTCAATGAACTAATAAATCACCACTTCACCCTGAAGCCGCTTGAGTTAAAGGGGTCAAAAGTTGTGAAGTCAAGAGTCAAGTCACAGGACAGCCACACTCATAATCCAAATATGACTTTTTCCAAAAACTGGAGTTGTCTCTGGACCCTGAGAGGGACAGAGACATGGCCTAATTTCAGGTTTTGTAATGGAAGGGAACCACAGAGCTCCTTTTATATGCAGAAAGGGAGCTGGTTTTCATTGTAATGCATTCTGTCTCTGACTGTATCACGATTTTCAGGAATTTCATTCACACCCACGAGAATTGGACTGAGTTTACGGAGACACACACCTATAGCAGGCACCCCCAAACTTGGCCCTCCAGCTGTTTTGGGACTACAATTCCCATCATCTCTGACCACTGGTCCTGTTAGCTAGGGATGATGCGAGTTGTAGTTCTAAAACAGCTGGAGGGCCAAGTTTGGGGATGCCTGACCTATAGCTACACTGGAGGGGACCAGCAGGTGGCAGCAGAGGCTGCCTGGTTCCATAAAACAGGGGATGGGGGAACCTCTGGTCCTGCAGATGCTGTTGGACTGCAGCTGCCATCAGTCCTGTCCGGCTCTTGGCAGCGCTTCCTGGGGCTGGTGAGAGCTGTGGCTCAACAACAACTGAAGCCAAAAGCTTCCCTGTACTTGCACTAAAAGAAAACAACTTTTGCACAAAAAACTGAAGAGAGGTGGAGGGCTGCTTCCAAGAGTGGGCAAGTGGGGTACCCAGAGAGGATCCGTAATCCTTTCTCTCCACCACTTGCCTCCTGCAAGGCAACCACCACCCACTCACAAATGCACAAAATAGGCTAGTAACTCTGCACAGGGAGAAAGATTGGAACAGCGTAAAACTGAAACCTAACCTCAACTTGCACTGTCACCAAATTCCCTATGCTGACCTTAAACGCCAAGATACAGCAGCAGAGTAAAGTTTGCAGCACCGTAACTTCAGCCACTTTAGCTACACACCATTGTTAATGACAGGTGGGTGAAAGGAGAAAAGGGGTAGAGATGGAGGCATGGAGGTTAAATCCCACCTCCTGTGCAGCCATTAACCCTCAACACCATGGGGCATGTGTGGGTGTTGTCTGTGACAGCGACTGCCGTGGGGCGACTGGGTCACCAACGACACTGTAGGCGTAAGGGACATTGCCATTCCTACAATGCCTCTTTTTCTAACAATATTATTGTGTCTTTGGTGCGGCAGGTGAAGTGCAGGATGCTGCACAGCAGAGAGACCGTGGTGGAGTAGAGGTGTGAGTCCTGCACTAGGACATGGGAGAGACTAGGGTTCAAATGCGGACAGAGCTTGGGGGCTGGTCACTATCTCTCGGCCTAACCTACCTCAATGGCTGTGAGCTCCTTTGAGAAAAGGTGGCAAATAGATATTATTTTTATTATTATTACCATCACCAACTTAGCTGGGCCACAGGACTGGGGTGCCCATGGCCACTTCCTTGTACCCCACAGATCTGCTGTCTATTGCCTGCTTCAGACACAGCACAAAGCCATGGCCTGCTTAACAAACCATGAGTTAACCACAAGCTGTCCCAGAGTTTAGTGTTACGTGTGAACTAGACCCCAATACCTTGGATGGCTTCTTCCGCATGTCAAGCAAAATGACAGAATTCTGAAGAATTTCGTGTGGAAAAAATACTGTGTGTGTGTGTGTGCCCTTGTCCTAATTTAACGTGCCAACGTCCAGGCTGCCTGCCCTCATACCTTCTGCTCAAGGAGGGCCCTGCGCAGGGACACCCGCTGCTCCAGCTCGTGCAGCTCCCGGTCGTGCTGAGCCTCTGCCTGCATCTTGATCTTGCTCTGATAGGCATTGAGCAGCTCCAGTTCCTGCTGCAGCTGCATCTTCAAGACCTGGCACTCTGCTTCCTGCGCCTCGTCCAATCGCAGCTGCAAGACAAAAGCAAACAAACTGAGCTGTGGAAGAGGGCTCCCGGAGGGAGAGGGAAGCTGGTTGTGAGGCTTGCTAAGAAGGGAAGAGGTGGAAAGGGCTCCTCACTCTGGTGTTCAAAAGCCTGCAATGACTGCCCATATGTTCCCAAGCCGGCTTCAAGATTCCTGCATTAATGTACAAGGCTCTGAACAACTTAGGTCCAGGATACATTAGTATAAGGATAGAATTCCTTCTATCCCTGCCTGGTGGTCACAGAGATCTTCAGGGGAGTCTGTTAGCAGTTCTTCATGACTCAGATGCAAGGCTTCTATCCACCAGAAGGCGTGCATTCATTATTATGGGCTGGATTCTATAGAACTCCCTCCCAGCTTAGATTAGACATTCGTCCCCTCCCCTCCCCAGTGAAACTTCAGGTACCTGACAAAGACTTTTCTGTTTCAGCAGATACTGAAAGGAAGTACTCCATATTTAGGATGAATGTTAATTGACCTGGATGACCTTCTGCTTCTTAATTTTTATGCAAACCACTTAAATGAATGCTTCTGTTTCATAAAATCTATACACTGCTTCATTGTAAAAGGAAAGAGAAAAACCCTCAAAATGGCTTACAAAAAAGAACGGCTTAATTCTGCAATTAAGCGGTCTATAAATAGCTTAAATAAAATATTTCCCAGGGAATCTACAGAGGCAACCCCTGGCTGTGGCCAAGGCTCAGCAATGCTCCACCAACACCATGTCTGGTCAGCCTGGATACCTCAGTTGGATACATGAGGTGCTGAACATGCCAAGGTTGCAGGTTCGATCCTTGTAAGGGACAGCTGCATATTCCTGCATTGCAGGGAGTTGGACTAGATGATCCTCAGGGTCCCTTTCTACTCCACTATTTCATGATTCTATGTCAGTTATGGGACTGAACAGCCCCCACCCCCCGCACCGCTGCCAGGAAGGAGAGGGCTCCATGGGGGAACTCACAGCCTGCGTGGAGAGCATCTCGTTGATGCTGTGGTCGTACTGCTCTGCGAGGATGGCCAGCTTTCGGGTCTGCTCCTCCTTGAGCCTCTTCAAGACAGCCTTGTGCTCACTCTTGGGGGTGGTCTCCAGCAGGTGGTTCCGCAGGGCCTTGTACTGCCGGGTCTGGATCTTGCACGTATCCTGGAACTGCTTCTTGATCTGGAGCTCTTTAGACTGGAGGGGAGGAGAACAACGGTTCTGCGTCAACCTTCTTAGAGGACAGGCCTGCCATGTCAAGGGGTTTCTAACGGGCTTTGAGCTGCGCAGCCATCTCCAGCCTGGAAGCCCCAACAGCACCACCAATGGCACATCCCCCTCCATTCAAGGCCTGCTGGTGGCTTTTCCACACCCTGGGACAAGAACACTGAGCATGCTCTGAGAAGTGCCCCGCTTGAAACAGGCTCTGAGGACAAACCCAAACTCAGACACTGCTTTACTGGGAAAGCTATGCCAGACTTCCCTGGAGAAGCAGGGACCTGCTGCCTTATGCACTCACACAGTATATTGAGTCAGTTAAGGGTAGTTTAGACCTTACTGCAGCCTTACCATAGATGAGAGGGGGAGATATGGAATAGAACGTAAAAGTGATGCACACAGAAACATGATGAGCTGTTTAATTCCGAGTCAGACCACTGGGTCCATCTGGCTCAGTACTGTCGACACTGACTGGCAGAAGCCCTCCAGGGTCCCAGGCAGGGGGTGCTTTCTCCCAACCACACCTGCAGACACGGTCAGTGACTGAACCTGGGACCTTCTGCATACAAAGTAGGTGCTCTGCCACTGAGCTATGGCCCACTTAAAATATTCAACCGTGGCCACACAGAACACCATGAAAGTGAGGCCCAGCCTGCCAGCCCTCTGCTGCCACACAGTAGTTTCTGGCCTGAAGAGCCCGTCACCTTGTTGGTAGCAGCACATATATTTTTCAGGGCCTGGGGGACAGAGAGGAAGCTGGGTCAGATTTCCAGAGGCCAAAGGGGAAGGCAGGCAACAGAGCCCTGCAGAGAGCTGCCTGCCCTCCTCCCTGCCCAACACCATCTAGATAAGACGGGATTATGTAAATAGGAGGAAATTTGAAATGCGCTCAACTTGCATAATTTATACAGGTCACCAAGCTGGGCTTTCCTTGGCACAGGATCTGGGTCACCAAGGTGCAGAGAGCTGCCTCTGGTCAGTTGCCCAAGCCAGAGGGAGATATGCATGGCCCATGTGCCTCACCCAGTTTCCTGTTCCTGAGAAGCAAGTCAGCAAGAGGGATGGAGCTTTGGGCCTCCTTTGGGTGGGCAATGCAACTCTTCCTTCTCTTGGCACTCCTGGCTGAACAATCGGCTTGAGGCTTTCTCACTCATCTATCTTCTGGGGTAGGCAAAGCGCCAGGGGCAAGTTTTGGGTTCTGCCTCAGCTGGGAAAGGAGGAGCTGGGGGAAGGGCTGCAGCCCAGTGGTAGAGAATCAGCTTCACTCCTTGACAGCATCTTCAGGCTGGGCTAGAAAATATTCCTTGCCTGAAACCTTGGAAAGCCACTGCACACAATGTACTGAGCTAGATGGGCCAATGAGCTGGGCTCGCTGTAAGGCAGCTTGCTGTGCAAAGGAGATGAGCCTCAGAAGGCAGCCTGGGATCACAAAGCCCCAGAGGTTTCTAGACCCAAGAAGCAGGGGGAGATGACACCAGAAGGCAGCAAGTAAGGGGCTGCTGGAACAGCCCTTCAGCCTGCAGACTAAATGCTTGAGGAAACAAACATGTCTTCCCAGGGGCTCAATAGGGGCCGAATGCCACAAGTCCTGGGCAGTGCCCCCCCGCAACACACAATGGGAAGAGGGCTGCCCACCTCCACCCCCTGAACCAGCTCACCTTGAGGCTCTTGGGCTGCTGCCGCACCTCCATGACATGCTTGCGCCGCAGCTCCCTCTCCCGCCGTTTGTTATACTCCAGCTGGTTGGTGAGCTCTGTCTGGTGCTGGAGCCGGATGAGCTCGCAGCGCATCTTCTGGATGGTGTTGAGGTGCCGGAACTCCAGCTCCTGCATGGACTCGTGCTGGCGCAGCAGCATGGCATGCTCCAGGTCCTTCTGCGTCTGGCGCTTGTTCAGCTCCTGAGACGCAAGGAGAAGGGGGGAGAGTCATTGGGGGGAAGCGAGGAGAGGGGACATCAGGACCAGGCAAGCATCTTCCTGGCTGGGTCAGAGAGCCCGAGGCAAAGGGTGCTGCTAGGGGAGGGCAGGAAGGGGATAGCTGTCCCCTCGCAGCCAGAGATAGATGGCCTCTGCGCATGGGTATTCCATTATACTACCGCAGCTAAGAGCTGCCAACAGACTCAACTCCCATGAATGCCCAATCACCCTTTTGGGAAAAAGAGTATCTGAGCTACAAACCACCATCCCTATCTATTGTTCTTCATCTTGTTTTTAAAGTACCTTATCCCATTTTATCTCACTTCACACTGAATCAATGGCTGTTGGCTATGAAGAGCTTTATAAATCTGAACAATTATGACTTGTGATCTGAGAGAGTACTTCTGAAATGTGGCTTGCTTCTGCCCATCCTAAAACGTGGCTATTTTACTCAACCACCAATCTCGCTGCTCAATCTGTAATGGCCATTGCTTGCATTTTTAAGTTTACCTATCCTTTCACAGTTTTCCTCTAACCCTGATCTGCAGTTGGGCTGGTTGTTTTGATTATTGCTATACAGAGCCCTGAACTCTTTGGACAGAGGTCAAGTCAAACCTTCAGGATCACCTTACCCCATATATGCTCTCTCAACCCCTTCAGCAGATCCAGCACTGTTACAGGTGCAACACCCTATCTGCATATGTAAGAACTTGATATTTTAGTGTGGCAGCACCCACACTTTGGAACTCCCTGACTGTTGTTATCAGGCAGGTGCCTTCATCGTATTTTTGGTGACTTCTAAAAACATTCTTATTTAGACAAGCCTATCCAGATATCTAGAATGCTGTTGCATGGTTTAACCTGTTTTTAATTTAGTAACTTTTCAAAAAAATAAATTATTCTTGCTGGTTATGATAATGCTATTATTTTATCTGTTTTGTTTTGTTTTTTTACAATCAAGCAGTGTATAAAGATGGAGGACTCAGGAAATTTAAAGTCCTTCTTCACACAGTGGATAGCTAAACTGCGGAACTCAGTCCTGCAGGAAGCAGTGATGGCCACCAACTTGGGTGGCTTTAAAAGAGGTTTACACAAATTCATGGAGGAGGAGAGGGCTATTGATGGCTACTAGGCCAGGTGGTTACGCAGAGGCAGCAGCAATGCTTCTGAACACCAGCTGCTTGAAACCACAGGATGGGAGAGCACTCTTGTGCTTGGGTCTTCTTTGCTGGTTTCCCTTTGGGTACCTATTTGGCCACTGTGAGAAAAGGATGCTGGGCTAGATGGGTCATGGGCCCTCCTACGCACCTCCCGGACAAGGTCCTGCTCCAGGTTGTGGCGCCCCAGCAGCATCCGCCGTTTGAAGCGGCGGCACTCCAGCTCCAAGTACTGCCGCTGCCGCCGGAGCAGGTTGGCCTCCTCCTCCGCCTGGAAGTGCTGGATGTTCTCCTTCTGCTTGGACAGCCACTCCTGCTTCTCCTTCTTGGGAGTGCTCTGGTTCTCATTCAGCTCCTGGAAGAAAGAAGAGCAGGTGGTCTCCCGTCACAGGGGGCAGGGCTCAATGCAATGTCATGCCTGCTGCCCCACCTGCTGCCCTTGGAAGCCCTAGAAGAATAATCGGCTGCAGGAGGACTGTGAGCAACGCAATGGGAGGGGCTGTTTCTAGGACCAAGGTAAAACTGTGAAGCTCCCTTGTTTTTGCTATTGGTTGGTGGATGTTGCTTAAGGAATCTTGTTATATTTGTAGTACTGAAAGTTTGTTTTTTTTTGTTTGGTATTATATTTGCTATAACCAAACTGCGGGAGGCAGTGGAAGACAGGAGTGCCTGGCGTGCTCTGGTCCGTGGGGTCACGAAGAGTCGGACACGACTAAATGACTCAACAACAACATATTTGCTATTGTGTTGCTTTGCTATATTATTATGACATTGTTTTTGTTTTGAAATGCATTCCTGTTTTGTCATAAACTGCTCTGTGGAAAAGCGGCATACAAATGAAATGAATAAATAAAATGAGGTAGCTTGGCTTGTAGGAAGATGGGAGGAGAGGAGAAGAAGAGAGAAGGCTCCTCTCTATCTGCATCCTTTGGTATTGCAAGGAGTGAAGAGATAATGGCACACACAGTTCAACAGAACAGAGCAGCAGCAAGAAGGGGACATTCTGCCAACGGAGGGTTCCCTGCCACCGTGGACACTCAGGATAAAAACATTTATGGGAACAGAGGAATCATTGCTGGAGGACAGGCCTTCCATTCCACAGGCACAGCCTGTAATAGGCAAATTTCTGCATGAGTGGCTGAGCTAGACCAGGTACAATATTATAGGAATGCCAGCAGTGACACTGTCCCAGAAAAGAGAATGGGTTTTAGGACAATGCAAGAGTCAAACCTCTATAAAACAGGACAAGCACCCTTTTCCATCCTGGCTTTTGACAGTTGAGGTGCATGTTTTTTATTTTTAAGGTTGCAAGTTGTTTTTAATGTTGTTTCTAATGCTGTAACCTGCCCTGGGACCTTAAGGTGAAGGGCAGGTAATAAATAAATCAACAGCTGCCACCACTATTTCAAAAGGCCCTGCTAAGCAAAAGTGCTGGTGATCACAAGCGTCTTGAATAATTGTCTTAATTGTACAAAAAGGCAAACTTTTTCTAACTGCCAATCAGACCAGTGACTAGATGAATGCTCTTTTGCTGCCATCAGTCCCCCCCCCCCCCCCGCTTTCTAAGAGATGAGCTTTACCTCTTTGAGCTGCTCCTTGCGCAGTTTATACTCTCTTTTCTGGGATTCCAGGAAGCTGTTCAGCTCTTTCTTCTGCTGGGCTTGAATGTGCTGCTGAAACTTCTTCTCTTCATTGGCCATGATTTTCGCCTACCCAGGAGAAAAGGCCCAGGAGAGAGCGGTAAGTGGCTCAGGGGGCAGCCAAGGGCAACAGTGTCTGCATCGTCAGATATGCTTGAAATGCAGAAACGGTAACACAGGCCTGCCTACTCACACACAGACACTCTGGACACGAGCAGAGAATGCATTAAGCCAACCTCTGCCCTCCAGCTATTTTGGAAAACTCCCACCAGCCCTTTGGCTCCTGGGCCAAGTTCAAGGGGCTGCTATTAGTATAGAAAGCCCTTAACAACTTGGGACCAGCTCAGCTATGAGATTGCCTTACCCCATATAATGGTAAAGGTGGCACATAATACCCGTTCTGCATTTGTAAGAACTCAAACCTTTTAGTGTGTCCTCACCCACACTTTAGAACTCCTTGCCTATTGATATCACTGTCCTCTTTTCAGCACCTACAAAAAACACTCCTACCCAGATGTTTAGAAAGTTGATGTAAGTTTTAATCTGCTTTTAGTCTACTGTCATTTTAACTTTTTGAAAGTCGTAAAGCAGTAAAATGATCAACAATATATATTTTCTGGGGTAAACCTCCTTGAAGGTTTTTCATTTAGCAATCAAGAGGTGTATAAACTTTATGACATAAAACAAAGAAAGAAAAACATTTGGAGGGCACCAGGACGAGCAGAGGCCACATTAGGCTTTCTCTGATGGCAGGTCTGTGTTGCCCAACCCTTACCGGAGAAGCTGTGCGGAAGCAGCTGCCCCCTACCTCCTTCTCCATTGCCGCCTGGTGCTTCTTGATGAGCTTCTCCATCTCGGCCGCAAAGTTGTTGCGCTGGGTCTCCAGGTCCTTGTCCAGCCGTAGGCGGTGCTCATCCATCTCGGCCTTCAGCTTGTTCTCCAGAGCCATCAGCTGCTTCTGGTGCTGCCGCCGCATCCGCTTGTAGCCGGACATCTGCTCCCGGAGCTCCGAGTCTTGCTCGTGCTCCTGCATCTGCCTCGTCACCTGCAGGGAGGGCGGGGAAACAGACCACAGTGACTCTGAGGAGGAGGAGGAGGAGATGTTCCCCAAGGCACGTGAGCGCAGGCCTATGGGCTGCACAGCTCAGTATTGAAACACATCCTTGGCATGCAAAGAAGTCTCAGGTTTGATGCCTGGCCGCATCTCCCAGGTATGAAATCCTGGAGAGATGTTGCCACTCTGTGTAGATGGTACTGAGATGGATAGACCAACAGTCTGATTCAGTATTAGGCATATTCCTAGGTTCCTATTAAATCAGCCCTTAACTCATAACTATGAGGACTAGAATCTTCTTGTATTTTTAGGGGAAGATACATAGCTCAGCAGTGGAGCCCCTATTTAGTCTGCAGAAGGCACCAAGCTCCATCCCTGGCATCTCCAGGTAGGGCTGGGAAATACCTTTTATTTGAAACCCTGGAGAGCTGCTGCCAGTCAGTGTGAACAGATCTGAGCTAGGTGGACCAATGGTTTGACTCTGTATAAGGCAGCTTTCTACTTCCCTCTTTCCTTCCTATGTCAGCTGAAGGAATTGTTATGGGGAATATTGGGGGAACCCCTCAGCTAGCAAGCATCTAGAAAAGCAACATGTTAGAGAAGCAGATCTCCTCCTCCTCTTGCAACCCCCCCCCCAAAAAAACATTTTATATTAAAAAAACCAAGCAAAACAGCATTTTTCTCAAGTTTAAAAATTATCATTGTGTTCATGTTACAGGACTTTCTTGCAGGATAAGGAGTCTGATACAGCTGCCCATTAAACGTAATGGAAAGGTTTCTACTACCCCCCCCCCCGAAATTTGCTTTGCCCCTTGTTTTTGCTAAGCTGGCCACTGAAGTATGGCTGTTATGAGTTGCATCTAATGTTACTCAGAGCAGGCATTACAAATAATAATTAAAAACCCTGAAAAGCCCCAAGATGACACCTAGCTAAGGGCCTAAGACGCTCCACAAAGAGAGTTGAACCTACCAGCGACGCTGTGCGTATAGTAGCAAAGTGCTCTCGGTTGCGGTAGTGGGATCTGTGGCGAGACACTTGGGGTGGAGACACTTGGGGTTCCGATGCTCTCGATCGGGGGTCCGGATCCTCCCTGTAGTTTTCTTCCTCCTTGGGAGGAGGAGGAGGAGAAGAAGAAACATCAGTGGGGCTGACTGATTTAAAAAGAAACCTCTTGACCCTTTTGGATCCAGGTGGGCCATGGGAAGAGACACAGATCATGCCCTCTCCGGGCTGCCATATGAATTACCGGCTTCAGGTGGATGACGGAGCTGTTGGACATCACCGTGTGGTCACCCTCCATCATGTCCAGCTCGCTCCTGTCGTCCGAGGCATCTGGAAGACTATTAACACTACTGCTTTGGCTACTGGCACTAATGGACATGCTGGGGATGGACTGGTTGCTCCCGACACTGTTCACTGTTCCCGTCCGGCCCATGCCGTGGTCTTGCTCCTGAAAGGGAGAGGGGAGAACATCACAGAGGGTTGTTAGCAGGGCAACCCACTGCAGCTGTAACATGAGAATCGTTGCCAGCGAGGCGGCAGCACTTAGATCTCTTCCCTGCTGAATGTTCAGCTTTACAGGTAGCCAAGGAAAGACCTTGAGCCTTGGGGGGGGGATGTCATTTGGGTCTGCCGGACATTAGCCAGTTTCACAAACTAGACAGGTGTTTGTGGACAAGAGCATCAGGGTTAAGACATGGGTTCAAATTTCCTTGCTTGGCTGTCCTCATACAGAATGCTCAGTTCTTGATCTCGATCTTATAGGAAAAGAAATCTAAAGGATAATTCAGACCTTGTTAAATACCAAAGAAAGAAATCATGTGGACAAGTTGTATAATACTGAGAATTGTACCAAGAGCAGAACTTACAGTTGCAAACACACACACACACACACACACACACACACACACACACACACTGCTTTTTGCCACAGATGAGAATCCAACAGGCTTGGATTCAGCAATGCTCTCTTTCCAAAAGTTACCAGAAAGGAATGTTCTGCTACAATTTTAAAACACGACTCTTGCAAACAAGCCGCATCTAATTGCGGCTATTTCAGGCAATCTTCACCCAACCTGGTGCCCTCCAAGTGTCTGGGATTACAAGTCCCTTGGGCTCCAGCACTGTGCTGCCTGGGGCTGATGGAAGCTGTGGTTGAAAACACCCAGGGAGCTCCAAGCTGGGTGAAGGCTGTGCTCGCCAAACTGCAGGAGAAGGAAAGCCTTGTTGCATGATGGAAGGGAAGGCCGTGGCTTGACAGCAGTTGAAATTCACAACCCTGTTTTCAGGGGGGCAGAGCAAGCCACTCGCCAAAACTGCAGAGGGCAGTTTATGGTGGACATATCCCAAGACGCAGGTTAAGCTCAGATGGAGATATGAATGGGCTGCTGGGAAAGAGGACAGTGGCGGCGATGCCAGAAGCAAGCACCACGCAGCGATGAGTAAAAGGCTGGTGAAGAATTCCTCCCCACCCCCCAAGCTCAGCCTCTGCTTCTACCTCCTCTTCCTCCTGGGTTTCCACCGCGGGACCGTTGTGCGCCTCTTGGAAGAGGAGTTTCTTCATCTTGCGATACTGAAGATTGTCCAGTTCTCTGACTGCATCCTTTGTTCTCTGGATCAGGTCTATTAACACTGTCTCAGGGCGCTCCCGGAGGACAAACACGTGCTGCAGCAGAAGACACAAGCGGGCAGGGGAGTGTCAGTGCCATATGACCTCAGGCTCTGCCCACAAACCACAGCATGCCATGGCTACAGGCAATGTGTTCTCCTGGACTGGGAAAAGATGTAGGTGCCGACTGCAGAGATGGTCTGGCAAGGCTTCCATCAGTCTGAAGTCCAGGGAATCCCTTGGCCTGGCAAAGGCCTGTGGGAAGCTGCATGCAGAACTGCTCAACTGGAGGGTCCCAGGCAGAGAGACCCAACACTTGAGCTCCAGTATGTTTACTCCCTGTTTAGATAAAAGCTCACCACCATCAGAAACTCTAGCCATGATTCTATGACTTAGGATGTCTGGAAGCTCAATATTGCACTGGGTCAGTCCATAAAGAAAAAAGAACCTCAGGGAGCAGCTGATGGCAGAGACCACGATCCAGTTAAGCCACTGCCAGTTGGAGCAGCTTCAGGATAAGGCAGCTCCATGGGCTTTGCTTAAAAATAAATGTAAATAGAGAAAGCATCTTTGCAGTGAAGAAGAACTTCCATCAATAGTGAACAACAACACCCCCTGCCCCGGTTTGCTGGTACTTGCTGCTGTCTGTCAGCAGAGCAAATGAAATTAGATCTACAGGGAAGATGGGAAGGAGAAACAGAATGGCCTTTTCAAAGCAGCAGGCGACTTGTACACAATCTGTGTCAGGGGAAGGAAAAACATGGGAGAAGTAAGATGGGAAGCCTGCTTGCACGCATGTGTGGTGGTGGGAGGACTACATATAAAAGAAACACACACGTGATGTAAATAGATGAAGAGGGAAAAGGTAGATCGTTTGTTAACTAACACGTAATAGTGTGATGGCCTGGGAATCCGATTCAGAGGCTGAACCAGAGGAATCCCAGCCTGCACAGGAGTCCCCGCCTCCAGGGCTGGCTGAGCTGGGCAGGGCCTTGGATCTGAAGCACCTGCACCTGTGCCGGATCCTCAGGAACAGGCACCAGGTGAATCCTCTCTGGCTCCGGAGGTGATTGAAGACACAGTGCCTACAGGTGTGCCTCTCCCAGCCCTGTCAGGGGAAGGTGAGTCTTCTCCTGGGTACATTAACCCTCCAGCCTCTCCTGAGCTGCAGAGGCTCAGGGCAGAGAGGCGGAGGGAACTGGTTTCTCCCAGGAGGAGTGCTCGCCTTAAGGTCAGGAGAGGCGGGTCTCCTGGGGGCCAGGACCGCCCCTGGCCTCAGAGAAGATAAAGGCGAGTCAGCCCGGTCCCAGGTTGCGGGAGCAACGTCGTTGAAGAGCTGTTTCGGCCAGCACCCTGTCCTGTTCCTCGAGAGTTCCTGTCCTTGCCCTGCTCCTCGCCCTGGACCTCGCTTCGCCCGTGGAGGACTGTCTGCCGACCCTCGACTCAGGTCCTGGACCTCACCCCACGGTAACCTCCCCCTGGGACCAGCACAAATAGGTTTTCACGCTACTCAAAGGTGTAAGGAGGCTGTGTACCGGTATCAACATATGAAGATGGGAAGCCCCAAGAATGAGAGGCCTGACAAGTTTACTAAGAGGAGGGATGGAGGGATGTTGAAAGGTTAACTTACAAGGCTCAGAGTGCTGACCATCAGGTCACAAAATAGCCAGGTTCTGCTAGGCTTTGGGAGAAAATGGTACGTGAAAAACATGGAAAGACAAGACTGAAAGGGTAACCGACATGTGCGATTCTAATATTGGGGGGAAGGGGGGTTGCTGACAGATGAAGAATAAAGGAAGTCAAGCTAACCTTCAGGAGCTCCTCCGATGTAGGCCTGTCTTGGGGGATTTTCTGGAGGCAAGAATCTACAAAGTTTCGAAAATAATCAGACCTATAAAGGGTAAGGGAAAACAGAAGTTTTAAACTATTGTTTAGTCAAGGGCGCAGCAGCCTTTTTCGCCCATGTCAACACATCACTTACGCAGGATCATCAGAGGAAACACAGCAACCAAGAAACCAGAAGCCACTGTGGAAATTGGACACACAGGAGAGGCAACCGCCCACCATTACAATTTGACATGGCAAATGCTGCTCTCATGCAAGCATTGCTGTGATGGATCTAACAAATTTCATATTTGCTCAAATAAATAAATCACCAAAGTGCTCACTTATAAACCCATTTAGGTACATTGATCCCGAAACCCAGACAACTGACCCCAAAACGTGTTGCAACCTCTCCTCCTTCGGCCATCCACTCACCATTCATTGGACTGGAGTGTAGGGGATTCATTCTGCGCTATGTGATATAAGGCACTCATTGCGTTCATATTAAACAAGGGAGGCTTCCTTTCCGCTGCACAGAAAGAAAAAAGTGTTTGCTTAATGGAGGGGGAAGCAACTGGTGGTGCCCCAGCCGGCCTGTGCCTGATCCTCAACAGAACCAGATGGAACGAGGTCACTTGCACCTGCCAAACCCTCCCGCCCCTCACTGTAGCAGAGGGGGAAATACCATGACTGTTGCACTTTCAATGGCCAAATGTGCCACCCAAATGCCAAAGGGGTCAGTTCGGGGTCGGGGGGGCTTCTCCAAACTGATGCAAGTTTTGCACAGCCCTACGACTGACATATCTGCTTTCTACCAAATCCCTTTTTAAAAGCCACCTAAGAAATCGCTGTCTCTTATGTCAGAAAGTTCCACAGTTTAACTAGAAGCTGTGTGGAACTCTAACCCCAAATTCTAATGCAGTGGACCCTCTAGTTACGTACCGCTCTGGATACGTAACTTTCGGGTTACGAATGCAACAAACCCGGCAGTGTATACTTCTGTCTTTTGCTGCGCACGCATGAGCAGAAGCACTCAAATCATACTGCGCGCATGCGCAGAAGCAGTGCCCCTGCCTCTGGACTTTTCGGGTTGCAGACAGACCCCCCGGAACAAATTTAATTCATATCCGGAGGGTCCACTGTAATATGAATGAGGAAAGTCTCTTTCTGTTCTCCTCCACCACCACAATTCATGAACCTCTCCCCTGGATCCTAAATTATTTTTTCTTTTTAAAAGACCCAAGTGCTCTATTATTTTTCTCCAAAGGGGGAAAATGCTCCGGCCCTTGATCAACTTTGGTTGCTTCTTCTTCTATCTTTCTCAGTTCCAAAATAATCTTTTTAGATGGGGCAACACATAATTTAGCACCAGTGTTGCTGAAATACAAGAGGCCTCATCACTACTGGCCTTCTGCTGGCTCTTGAAGACATACCTGTTTAGACTGCAATCCTCTTGATTTCCTGACCTGAAACTCCTCATCTAATCATTTTAACTGCTGTTTTAAACTGCTTTAATTAGTATGCTGCTTTAGTGGGTTTGTTTTATTGGACAGTTTAATTATGGGTGCTTTTTAATGTTTTGATGAAATTGTTTTGTTGTGTATTTTATTTCTGTGGGGATATATTTTTGTAAACGGTTTTACACTTGTAAAACCACTTAGAAGCCATTTTGGCAAGCGAGCAGTATATTATTATTATTAATAGTAGTAGTAGTAGTAGTAGCAGCAGCAGCAGCAGCAGCAGCAGCAAGAAATGTACAACTTTTGACTGGGAGAAGTCAGAGCTCGAACAGGCGGACATGGCCTACCTAATTCAATACACGTTATCCCAAGTGACCACACATCGACTTTACCATCATATTGCCCTTCATCCATGGCTAAAATCACTTCCGGGGCCATCCTGAAGAGAGAAAAATTAAGGTGCTTAGCAGATCCACTCACCAAAATCCTTGACCATTTCTGTCTTGCCCTTTAGGATGAAGACTAACACTGACTACTAACCAACACTAACTAGCCTGAGGTGTAGAGGAAACAATATGGGATATGAGTATATCTGAAGGCCTGGGGTCCCAAGGATGCTACGTAGTTGCTTGAGGAAACACCAGCAGGGCTGAGGGCTCCTGAAATGGTGGAGCAGGGAGAGAGAGAATATATGCCTTGCATGTTGATGTTCTCTTATTGTCCTCTTCCTCCACATCATTTTCTTGAGTCACTTAATCTTCACCAGGAGAAGGGAAAGGAGAAATCAGGAGGGGCCAGAGAAAGATGCAATGGCAACTGGGTGTCCCTTGGGACTGGTAGGGTGGAAGGCAGGATGACTGACAGCAGGTGGAACCAGAGCCAGAGCCAATGGCAGGTGGAGCTGACTGGCTGTAAGAAGGCAGGCAGGTGGGGCAGAGGCCCTTTTCCCAGGTGCTCACGCCTACCTCTACCTTAAGGGGAAGGGCTGTGGCTCAGTGGAAGAGCATCTGCTCTGCATGCAGAAAGTCCCAAGTTCAATTCCCAGCATCTCCAGGTAAGAAAGAGACCCCCTGCCTGAAACTCTGGAGAGCTGCTGCCAATCAGTGGGGGACAATGCTGAGTTAGGTCTCACTAAGTATATATTAGGTCTTAGTATAAGGCTACTTCCTATGTTCCTATCCAGTCTTCATAAGCTATTTCAGGAAGTACTAAAGGGGGACGATGTGCTGGCAAGTGGGAAACGACTCATTGCCAGACCCCAATATTTACACCCTGGAATGATAGACCTGGCACCGAAGTGATCTCCTTTCCAGCCCACTTTAAGGGCCATCCAGAAATCTGCCTGCCGTGCATGTAAGACCATTAACTGCAAAATGTTAACTCCCACAGCAATACCAATGCTGAAGCCTTCCTTACCAATATGGTGTCCCCACAAACGAGTTGGCAGGAGATGCTATGGAAGCAGATCCGAAGTCAGCGAGTTTCACCTGGCCTGGTTCCGTCAGTAGGATGTTTCCTGCCTTGATATCTCTGGGGAACAAATAGAAGTCAATATGGCACACTTGTTTACTGGCCCCAACACAGGAACAGCCAAGCTGCGGCCCCGCCACCCTTCATGGATCTTGTAGGACTACAACGCCCAACATCTCACACCTGCTGGGACTCGAGAGTTATAGTGCAAAGCATTTGGAGGGCACCATGTTGGCCACCCCTGCCATGAAGAGATTACATACAAACACAGCTGTAGCAAAGGAAGGAAGGAAGCACTAGCATCACCCCAAAACATCTAGGGAAGATGAACCAACACAGTGGCAAGGGGGTGTGAGCGCCTTAACTGCAATCCTGCCCCCAATAACAGGACCAATGAATCCATCCTGTGTCCACCCTGCTGTGGAGCCTCAAAGAAAACCATGGGGTGGCAGGCTTCCTGTTGGAGCATCTGGTTGGCCACTGTGAGGGTGTTGAACTAGACAGGTTGCCAATCGCCTGGCCCAGGACATGGGCTCTTCTCATGTCCTTCAAAGTCACTGCAAGTTCAGGCTGCCAGTAAAGCTTAGAGGGTCATACCTAAGTAAATTATACTCAAGCAGACCAACCTGAAATTACAAGCCCTAGGCGAGTCACACCTATTCATTTCAAGGGTCTATTCTAATGAGTACGACTAACACTGGATACAACTTAGTGTGTGTTGTGTTTATTTTCTGATAACTCAACCCCTTGTTTACATTGATCAGCCCAGACACAGATCCAGCTCCAAGAGCCTTCTGGCAGTTCCCACACTGCAAGAAGTGAAGCTACAGGGAACCAGGCAGAGGGCCTTCTTGGTAGTGGCACCCACCCTGTGGAATGCCCTCTCATCAGGTGTCAAGGAGATGAGTAATTATATAACGTTTAGGAAACATCTGAAGGCAGCCCTGAATAGGGAAGCTTTTAAAGGTTTAAGGTTTTACTATGTTTTTATATATGCTGGACACCACACTGGGGCTGGGGTAACCCAGTCAGATGGGTGGGGTACAAATAAATAAAGAAATTATTATTATTATTATTATTATTATTATTAGCAGCGAAACTGCAGTTCCTCATATTTGCCTGATGTACTGAAGAAAGTTGAGTTGGGTTTTTATCACCTTATTTGCTTAATTGTTTGACAAAGGCAGCGGTAGTTGGGGTCTCTAAAGACTCTAGATCTGCAATGGGGAATTTTAACGCATAACACACAGTGACCTGTACACAAACGCACCCCTATCCCATGTATGTGTCTGCCCTATTAAGTCAAGTTATCACTGCAGGTTCTCTGTACACGTGACAAAAAAAGAGGGGAAGCCACCCCATTTAGAAAACCACGAGCTTTTTGCCCAGAGAAACCATAAACGCAGGTTAAATTCAAGGGGACACCACTGGCGATGTCGTGAGGAAGGACTTACCTATGGATCATGTTGTGAGAATGCAAGTATGCTAAACCTTGGAGAGCACCGTGGGTAATTGCAGCAATTTCCAGCTCTTGCAATGGCTTTTTATGGACTTGAGGAAAGAGAAACTCAGTTAGCAAAACAGGAAGGGACAGGCTGAATATGCATGCTGTTGACTTGACCAGGCCCGTAAGGTAGGCGACAACACAGAGAGGGCCAGGTGGATTTGGGAACCAGACAGTCTGCAGTGTGCCCTGAGATGAACTCAAGAGCCGGCACACGTTACTTTATTGCCCGCGTTTCCCCAAATATCAGTTTGACAATCAGCATCCAATCTGTCAAACACATCACAAGCCTCCACAAACGAACAAATGAGCAAAAAGGTTGTAAAAGGTTAACCTCTCCCCAGCCACTATCAGGGGTTCTCACATAGCAGCACAATGAAAGATCACTCTGCTTCATCAGGCTACTACAAGGAAGCATCCAGCATTTTAAGAAGGTAGACAATTAGGTTAGTGTGGTGGGCCTTGCCCCCTTACAAAATTGTTTTGTGGGTTTACATCCCTTTGCTGAGCAGCACCAGGCAGGGGCCACCCAATCAGGGCCAAAGACTCTACATAATCAAATAGGGGGAAGTTGCCTGATTGGGGAAGGGACTGGTGAAAGGGAAACAGCAGAAAAAGACCATCAAGTTTTGAAAAATTGGTTCCACAAAATATACCTATGGGGCATTTCCTCCCTTTTCCTCCCTTCCACACAGCATGGGATCACCTGGCAATCAAAGGGACTGAGAGGAACATACCTTCTAATAAATCTGATGCTGATCCTAAACAGTATTCCATAACAAGCTGTATAGGGCAGAAGGGGGGGAAAGTGTTAGCAAGCGCTTCAGATGGCAAGGGTGGCACCCCCAACACCCTAAAACAGGGTCTCATGACAACCTGCTCCTCAGACAGAACCCCACCACCCCCACATTCCTCAGCAGGCAGTCCATAAGCTTCATTTGGACCAACCCTCTCCAGTCTTTCCCCATGGCTTCTGTACTGGGTAGCCATACAGAGGTAGCCTGTCTCTGCCAGCAAGTTTCCCTCAAGGTGTCCCAAAGAAATGTGTCAGCAGGGCCCTGACTGTCGACCTCCAATGACTGGGAGGAGCCCTTGCCCACCTCTCCATTTGACTGAGGAACAACATTGCCAAAGTTTTAAAGTACCTCACGAAAGGCACGTTTATCCTGATCTTCAGGAACATGACCCCTCTCTCTCCTCATGTTGATTGCTATTTATTTCATTTGTGCTTCACAAGTGCCTCCTATGAGGCATCCTGAACTCATTTCCAGGATTTATATGGACAGTTACATGCATAGAAAACCAACTGCATATATGAATTTTTTTAAAAAAAACATCCAGATTTAAACATGAACAGTTTAAAAGAACAACAGCACATAGATAAAATCCACTCCATCCCCAAGACAGACACCAATGGGATAAATATTTCAGAAGCTTGTCAAAAGGGGAGGTGTCTTTTGCAGAGAAGGTGCAGAAGAGCGTTCGAAAGGGCAGGTGCCACCACAATGAAGGCCCAGTTTCAAGACTGTGCAGAATGGAGCTCCTGATAGGATGAGACCTGCGGGATGCCCACTCCTGCCGGGTGCACTGAACTGTTGGGTGTGTAAGGGAGGTATCCTGGCCCCAAGCTGATATTTTTATTTATTAAATTCATATCTCACTACAGGAGGAAACTACAGGAGGAGGATAGTGCTCTTATGCTTGGGGTCCTGCTTGCATTTGGTTGCCCTTGTGAGAAGGATGCTGGATCTGATGGGCCATTGGCCTGCTCCAGCCAGGCTCTTCTTCGGGTCTTACCTTTTGTGCCAAAGGAGCCCAGGGCTCCACTAACCCTAGGAAGCAGGCTTATGCCACACCAAAGGTCCTTCCCAGCTTTCTGCACAGCACCTTTGTCCAGTGGAGATTCTGGGGACTGAAACTGGGGTTTTCAAGATGCAAAGCTTCTGCTCTGCTGTCTGAGCTGTGCCTACCCTCCCTAATCCAAGTGTTCTATAGTGGGACTTCCTCTCCTAGGGACATTACAGACACAGGGATGCCAGCAACTGACTTTTGTTCTCAAAAGAAGAGGCTTATAATTTGGGTTTTGCACAAGTTGCCCCCTTTCCGTTGAAGCTGAGAGAACACATTTTTGTATTTCTTTTAGGATTTAAAATTTCAGAGGAATCAATAAATCTCCTATCATGCAGGCAGGGCATTATAACTAGAAATTCAGGCCAAATGGGAGAGAGAAAACTTCAAAGGCTTTTGGCTTAAGAGGGCAAGAGACCAGCTGAAAGTTTGGTCTCTTACTTGTGTCACGTGGGATTTAGTCAATCATCCCGAAGGCTTACTCACTGGCAGCCAGCTCCTGCAGATGTTTATGTAGAATCAAGACCCGCTGATTTTCCAGGGGGTGGGGGTGGGGGGGTTGTTACTTCCAAATAAGTAAGCAACTGGACTGCAACTTTGTGAGAGCCTTGTTGGAGGAAGACTGAAAAGCTGCTTCCACATTTGCTTAAATTTGAACAAGGGCTAAAGGGGCACTTTGGACTGGAGGTTTCTAGGCACACCTGGTATGTTAGGACCCCAGAGCCTTAAAGTGAAGCTAGATGATGGTTTTATGGGGCATTGTGTAGAGCACAGGTGGGGAAATATATGCAGCCTCCCAGAGACTGCTGGAATCCCATCAGCCCTGACCACTGTCCATTCTGGCTTCTGGGAGTTGGGAGTCCCGAGACATCTGAAGGGCCACAAGCTTTGGGAAGCCGATAAAAAGACCACAAAGGCCTTCCATATTGCAATTCTCAATAAAGAGTGGCCAAGAACTGGCTGAAAGCTAACGAAATATTTCACGAGCGATCTATACAATAGAGCAAATGTCTTATGCCGCTTCAGTTAGAGCAAACTCTTCTCATGAATACCATAAATCTCATCAAAGCTTTGATGCTGCGTTTTGTTTTCAAGAGAGATGCCTGGTATGATAGGAATCTTGCTGGAGCTTTGAGTCTCAAGCAAGCGTAGAAGCAGGGAATGAGTCTGATGATAAAACCATGCAAGGGGGTAAAATAAAAGGTAAACAGCTATCTCTAACATACAGGGTCAAAATTTTCACAAGCCAAGGGCACTGGATGACAAGAGTATTGCCTCAATAATCCAGTCAATGCCTGCTGGACAAAGAAGTTTACAGAAGCTCAAAAGATCATATATATATGGCCTTAATGCCATATATACCCAGCAGGTCACTTCGTTCTGCAGGAGAGTTCCGCCTTAAGTCCCCAAAATATCAGAAGTTGGCTCTACAGTAACTCAGAGAAGGGCTTTTAGTGCGGCAGCCCCAAGTTCTGTAGAATGGCATGCCTGTAGAGAAATGACTAGCATCCACTATCTGAACAATTGAAGACGTTTTTGTTTAAACAAGCTGTCCCAGCTGAATAAGTCAGTCCCTTTCTTGGATGCTCATTTTGTATTGTTTTTTAAATGTACCTGTGGTTGTCTTTTTGTACTGTTTTTAAGACTCACAGCTGTTTTTATGGTGTGTCTGTAAATCACCTTCAGATAAATGTAAATGGCAATTCATACTTTCAGGAGGTAACAACTGGGAAAAGGCAAGTGCTGGCGAAGTGTGTTGATTCAATACCTTCAGCCAGCAGACACACATTTCCTTTTTACACTGCTCAACACACACACACACACACACACACACACACACAGCTCCACAAAGGGAAAGGAAAGATGCGCTTACCCATGCTGTATGCTCCCGCAAATAGCAGCCTTTGTATTCTATACTGTTTGGATGTTTAATTCTTTGTAGGAACTTGACTTCTTTAATGATATCCTGCCATTTCTACAAAAGGGAGAAAAGAAGGAGAAGGTCAAGCTTTACAGATGAGAGAAAATGTTTTTTGGGAATCGGAGGCAGAGGGCAGGTATGATCTGACCAGGACAAATACATAAGCAGAGGACTAAGAAGATCAGAAGCAACAAGGCAGAGGAACGGCCACATTCCTCTTCAGCCACCAGCTGCCCTTCTCCATTCAAGAACAAGATTCACTTAAGGCTTTATGTTCCCCCTTTCAGCTGACCTTTATAAACTTAAGTTAAAACTTATTTATCCATATTTCAACCCATATTTCAACCTGCCTTTCCTACTGACCCCCACTACTGAACCACAGGGTAGGAACTTCTTTTTTTTAGCCCAAGGGCTGCATTCCCTTATGAGTAACTTTATTGGGGGGGGGGGACCGTTTGCCAGTGGTGGGCAGGGCCAGAGGCAAACCAGGACGGAGCAACGGATGCAACCCTTTCCTTTGTAGAGCAGCCCACAATTCAGTCGGGCAAATGTCAGAGGTCGCTTCGCCTACACGTCTTTCTATCCTCCATCCTGGCATGCAAGAGGCATCAGCACAATTCAAAGACTCGCCCCAGCCGGGCGAACGCCGCTGAGGGCACAGAGCAATGCCAGTGAGGGGTGTATCCTAGGGAGACTCCCAATAGAGAGGCCTGGCATTTGCCACCCACCCCACCCCCAGGCCTGAGGTCCCCAACCACTGTGTTCCATCTTTCTTTGCACAAGCAGCCCCTAATGCAGCTGCTGACGGAGGACAGAAACAATGATTTGCCATAAGCGTTACTCTGCTGCACCAAGAGCTCTTGCCTAAGCAGGAGTGTTGTGGCACAGATGCAATTCAGTCCTCTAATCAGCCACGTTGGCCCATGGGGAAAAATTGACACAGAGGGAGCTACTAAACCAAGTGCATCAATTTTGTTGAATTAATTAAACTAAATTGTTTTAAGTAGATTTTGACTAAATGTGCAATCAATTGCTTCTCTTTTGAATTTTACAGTGTTATTATCTTCCTTAAAGGGTTGTGCAACCTGCTATTCTGAATTATTCCTTTTACAGGGTAGGGGGCACTGGGGATGAGTTTATGGAGCCAAGGGGGTGGTGGCCCAAAAAAAGTTTAGGAACCACTGCTTTAGCTGATCCTGAACTGAGCTGGTGTGTGTGTGTGTGTGTGTAATAGATGACCTCCAACTCTTATGACTGCAAGAACGGAGGAGAAGGTAGCTGCATTTCACCCTTCAGTGTTGCTGGCATGATGATTAAATGTAACTGCAACTTAAGCTGCCTTCTCTTTCTGCAAGAGAGGAGCAATCTAGAAAGAGTTTTTAAACTGTGTTTTTCAAAACAGACACACACACCCGCCCACTGGAGACAATCCAGCCTTATTTCTGAAGCGGGCGCCATGTGCTTCATTCATGTGAACAGAGTATTTATAGCCCAATAGTAATTAAATCAGCAGGATGAGAAACAGGTATAAATTAGACTTTCACCATTGCATGGTTAAACAAGATGCACAAGGCTTCGGGAACAGAATAAAAATGGAATGCGGGAGGCTGGTGTGGGGAAAACAGAGAAAGGACTCCTAGTTCTGCAGTACCTCAAGACACAGGGAGGAGAAGGGCCACTAAAAGGCATTTTTACATGGCAGGCAGGCATCCTACTCTACATTCACCCTGAAGCGTTCAGCACCAGGGCAAGTTCAGAGCAGGATGTGGTTGTTTTGTTTTGGTTTTTGTGTAAAAAATATAAGTCCTCACAGCCCAGATAGAGTGCTGTTGTGTGAACCCCCTGCTGGTAGCTGACACTCCATGTCACACACCTCTGCTTTTCTCCTTTCCCCTCTTGCAGTGATCACTAAGCCTCAGAAGCTGTACTTAACAGCCGAATGGGCTTTTAATGTGCCAGGCTTCAGGCACAAGGCCAGCAAGAAGCAGCAACTAGGCTGTTCTGCCCTGGCCTTCTGCCCTCACCAAGCCTCAGAGCCTGCTGGCACCTGGGCTCTTCACCTGCCGTTCTGAAAACATGTTCAGTTATTCCATAGTGAAAATAAAATGTTTTAACAAAACTGATCTTTGGTGCACAGGATGCGCCCCCATTCTAATAGCTCTGCTCTGTTAAGGCAGAGGTGGCGAACCTCAGGCCCTGCACCTCACCAGCCCTGTTTTTCACCCTCCTTGAGTGTTTTCATCTGGCTGGACTGTGTGCTTGAACACTGATAATGCATCTTGCTTGTCTGGACAGAGGATGGAGGGTGTATATGAGCATGTGTAGAAAGCAGCCTACGGTTCAAAAGTAGAAGTTTAGATTTGCAGCTCCACCCACCACCACCATGTGCCCCCCCCCCACGAAGATTTCCATAAAGGGAATGCAGCCCTTAGGCTGAAAAGCAGGCAAGGGAAGCTTCAGTTCATACAAAATCCAGACAGGGCTGCAGTTCTTAAAACACAGCATAACATTAAAATCTCCACACATGAAACTAAAGTGTCTTCAGCCAAGGATCTAGAACTAAAGCGGATCTAGGGTTGCCAGGAGAGTGGGTGACATTCCTAACCTCCAAGGCTTGCTCTTGCTGGTAGCGCTCAAAGCCGACCTTAATCTGCCTGGCCTGCAATTTTCCCACGCTCACACCGTTTCCCCACTGCATCTTTCTGAAGTTCCTTGGGACGGATTTGTTCAAAGCAAAGAGCCAGAAAGGGAGAGAGGAGCTTCTGCTTGATCTGCCTTTGATTAAATTCTGCAGGCAAGCAAGCTCTGCTGTCTGAGCTGGTGCCTCTGCTGCATTCATGTCTACCATTCCTAGCAAGTTTTCTTTAGTTAGCTAGCCAGGCGATGGGGCTTTGGGTGTTTTGTTTTGTTTTTAAGCAGAATTTTAGAATGGAATGTCGAAGGCCAAAGAGGAAAGCCAACGTGCGCTTAAGTCAGAATACCACAGCACTAGGTTCGTTTCAGCTTTTGCTATTGATGTTATAACAACATGCATTTTGCACAAAGAGGCCCTTTTTAGGTTGTAGGACAGCTGATCAGTCCCCAGCTAATTCAACACGGAGAAGCAACAAGACTCAAGAAATCCCAGGAGCATCTCTTGTGGCACTTCTTTCCAACTTCATCGCTAAGGGTACAATCTGGAAGGATGTGGTCCTGCCTACAAATAAAGCTTCCCTGAATGGCATTCAACTGATCCCCAAGAATCCCAGCTCCTGCCTGGGTTTTTGAAAGCACACTTCTACTCTTCATGATTGCAGATATAAAGTTTAAAGACAGGGGGAAAGGACCTCTTAAAGGCTCAGGGAGGAGGGCAGGAAAATGTTTCTTGTGTTCAGGGAAAGAACAATCTTTTCCACACTTCATCTCTCTGGCTCCCTCCTCAAAATTCCAAACACCGCAGGTCCCTCACCTGCTGCCTACCTGGATCCCTGAAGCCCTATTCCCCTCCTCTTCTAGCACAGACTGAATTTTCCCATTATGACAGAGTCCCTAGAGACACTGAATACTCAAAGATACTGGTTACTACAGCTCTTTATATTTGTTTTGTATATTCATTCTGCATGCAGTTCAACTAGTGAAGTGTTGAAGGGAACATTCTGGAGAAAGAACCCTGAGGGGTTCCTGTAACCCCAATGGTTGCAGAGCTTAAATCAGCCTCCCCTCCCACAAAATCTTGGTGCTGGACTACAACTCCCCTCACCCCTGACGATTAGCCATGTTACTGTTGCTAATGGGAGTTGTAGTCCAAAACCTGTGAAGGGCACCAGGTTGGCAGAGACTGGCTTGAATGAACTCACGTCAGCAGATGCAGCACAACCATTCACAAACACTTCACATACCTCGTTGGATTGCTTCCCACTGTAAGACATTTTCTTGATGGCCACCACTTCATTGGTGCGCACATCATGTGCCTGCAATGTACAAAACAAACAAACCAATAACCACAATGCTATCACAGCGTTTATTCTGCTAGGAGAAGATCCCATCAAATTGAAATCCAACATATCAGGACTCAAACCCACAGTAGGTCTTGAAGCTGGAACATGGGGGTGTTGGGGAACAGACTGCAGTCAGCACCCAGCACTGGTCAGAGGAAGGGAGCTTCCCAGTGAAAAAAGTCTCTGAGCTGTGCACTAGAGCAAGCAAGACCTCTTGAATCCTGCAGAGTCTGCTGGGTCAGACTCACTTCCCAGCCTAAGCAGCAAGCTCTTTGCTGTTGCTGCTGCCAGTGCTGGGGATAGACTCCCTTTGCCTCTGCGAGGTTCCAGTTCTGACAGCCGGCCATTTGGGAACCCCCTCTTGACCGCAGGTGCCAATCAAGCAGCCCCAGCATGGCTCTGGACCTCTGCAGATGTGTCACACAATTAAAGCCTCCATAGGCAAAGCACACAACTACCATCTCTGGCAATGACACCCCCTGAACAAGGTGAGGAAGTGGGCTTGGCCTGGCAAGTAACCAGAAAGGACCAAAATGCAAAATGTCATTTACTGCAGGGTAGACACAAGAATCTGCATTACTGGCAGACTCCACGCAGTCTGAGTACTAACATGACGTAATGGCTGGGCAATACCCTGTTTATGAGCCGGGGGTGGGGAACCACTTTTGATTTGGTGGGAGAACAGGGCTCAGTTAGAAGGAGCAAGGGAAGGTGCTGGAAAAGACTGTTCAACATTTTTGTCTAATTTGCTTAGCTCCTTATTCAAAATAAATATGATTAACAGAAGCCACAAAAAGAGAAGAAAGCTTGAGGGTGTCCAAGGCCAGAATGGATCCTGTATCCCCAATATTTTATGCCTGTATCCCTAATTTTATTAGGGATTTAATCCTTCTTGGGAGGAAACTGACCATTCTGAGGCTTCTCTCAAATTCCAAAAGCTGGATGACAAAAGGGACAAGGGGCTAAGAATTTAGGACAAGGACCCAGAAGTCCAGCCTTTTGTGTGTGCATGTTTGCATTCTCAACCTGCAAGGCCTCAAGAACAGCCAGAGTTAAAATTCCAGGTCGTTTGGTTCAGAGCTTGCATTGCCTCCCTCAGGACCACACGCTGCAGTGCTCTAGCAAGTGCAAGGAGCTTGCAGGGGGGTGGGGTGACAATTCCCAGCTGTGTTCCACAATGCCACACTGACAATGGATGCCAGTACGCAGCCTTGCAAAGCATCTCCACTTCCACACAACACACTTTTGTTAGGTCCGCTATTGTTCCAGGGAGGCCCTCCTCGTCCCTCACAAGGACACTGGAGTTGAGTACTAATAGCCTCAATGACAAACCTCTAATTCAAGACGAACCGGAAACAAAGCAAAGCCCTCACTATCCCTGCTCCTGTGACATGGGTCACAAGGAAGACACACACACCTCCCGATTGCACTTGTCAAGGCCTCCATGGCTTGAGCCAGCTGTGTGCGTGCACCCACTCTTTCGGTCAGGCAAAGCTATAGTGCCCCCACCGTCAGAGCACCTTAGTAAACATGGGATCAGTCTACATGGCCTTTTTTTCTATTCCAGCCCTTAAATAAAATGCAGACCCTCTGAGGGGAGATCTACTCAACAACTAAAGTGGGAGAGAAAAAGAGGGGGGGGGCAAATGAATCAAGAGCTGTGCAAAAGAAGCAGGCGCAGGAGCAGAATAACTCAGCATCTGAATAACTCAGCATTAATGAAGATACAGCCAATGGCAGAGTAAGAAGTCAATGGGCCCTTAGTGTGCATAAAAACTTAATGAGAGCCCTGCTGGATCAGGCCAGTGGCCCATCTAGTCCAGCATCCTGTTCTCATACTGGCCAATCAAATGCCTGTGGGACCTGAGCACACAAGAGAGAGTGCTCTCCGCTCCTGCAGTTTCCAGCAACAGGCATTCAGAAGGATTATTGCTTCTGACTGTAGAGGCAAAGCACAACCATCATTAATGTTCATTAGTGGTGCCATGTGAGGCAAGTGACACCTTGCGATTGCCAATAGCTAGCTGTGAGTTTATTCTTTTCCATGTGCCCCACAGCACCTCCATGCCCAACCCCAGCCCTCTTACAAAATAAACAGCTCCAAAGCTTCCATGGCCGATCTCTCGGAGATCCGTGAAGAGCTTCTCTGGATCTTCTTTGAAGAAGAGCTCTGCAATCTCGGGGTCCTTCAGGCTGCCCGCTCGGCTGGTGGATGGCATTCTGCTGGGCAGTTAGCCAACTGACTATCTGGGTTTAAAGTGCCACCTCGACCCTGGGCTCATCTGTATGAATGGAGCCTTTTCAGCATGGATCACTGCAAGGATACAGGGGAGAGAAAAGGCAGCATGTTACAGGAAGGGAAATCAAAATACAGGTAACACCAAATCCTCGGCCAACCGCTGCAGCATTGCAAAGGTTCTCTTTGCACAAGGCGTCCACTACAGTCCACGTTGCAAGGTGCTTTCAGGGGAAGGAGATCCTGAATGCCACCAGATTGTGTCTATGCAGGAATCCAAAGCAGGCACTCCTATTCATTTACTAAATTTATATCCCACCCTTCCTCCAGGCAGCAACACAGCATCATTGTCCTGTAGGCTATTCAGAGACTGGGCTCAGAGCTCCCACAATGCACAGCAAACAAACTGGGGTCTTCCTCTTTAAGGATCACACATGGAAGTCCAAGGTGCATTTGCTAGCATCTCTATGAAGGATCTGCAGTAGCAGGGCTGGAAAGCCGGAGGGAGAATTGGTGAGTTGTTGTCAGTCAAAGCAGACAATCCTGGGCTAGGGATCAATGGTCTGACTCTGCCCAAGTGGTGTGCATCCACTTTTCAATGCATGCTGCTTCTCCCAAATTAGAACAGCACTTGCATAAATCAGGCATGCCTAGATCTACCTAGATGGATTACACAATTAAAACTCATACGCAACCAGATCTTCAACACTGTAACTGTATTCCCAGTACCACATCAGATCAGCAAACCCTGTTTCTATAGCAATGGAGGCAGAAATGTAGAAACTGTGCAGTCAAATCTGACAGATCTTTAAGACCTTCGTCTCTACCCACCCCTTCATATGCATATTCACATTCTTGCTAGCCAAACATAAAAAAGATAATGTCAGAACCCATTTCAAGAGGAATTAACCCCATGATTTCATATAAAATTTGGGAGGGGAGATTCCAAACAGAAAACAACTGCTAATTCTCCAAGGGCAGCAACCGAACTGACTTTACAGCAATTTCCAAACCCAGCCAATATTGTAAGTGTCTAGAAACCACCACACCACACTTTTAGTCTACCCCTACCTAAAGCCTTCTCCCTGGCTTTTTAAGTTATTGGGCCGGGGTGGAGAAATTCAGGTCCCTGAGGGCCAAATCCAGCCCTCCATACCTCTCCCCCCCCCACCCTCAGGACTCTCCCCAGGCTCTGATTCACACCCTACTTGAGAGTTTCTTGCTGGAGATGTGTCACTGAACTCTGATAGAACCCTCTTGCTTGCCTGGATGTAGGACAGAGATGGACATGCAATTTGTTTGTGTGTGTAGACACTAGCCTGCTGTTCAAGGCTGAAAATTTATACCTGTTGCTCCACCCACTCTTGCCTTTGGCCCAGCCCACCACTGGCATGCAGTCCTGGGAAGGCTCCCCAGGAGGGACTGCAGCCCTCAGACTGAAAAGGGGCCCCACCTCTGAACAAGGCCTTTAAGGGAAAGTAGCGACTGATTGAGCTGGGTACAAGCTCCCCTCTGATGTTCCCCTTTCAAGCTCAGTTTTGCACACGATCCGGATCAGGTCCCCAGAGCAGGTGGGGTGAGGGCTACTGGAACTGTGCCTCCCCTTCCACCCGTGGCCAAATAACAAGGCTGATTGTGGAAAGGAACACACTGCACACAGCCAAAAGAATTAGGTGCAAGCTAGCCAGGCCCCATGGAAAGCATGCTATCTGCCGCATTCCTCACATAGGAGGGAAAAGTCCAACAATGCTACAACTTAATCCTCACTCTGAAGAAGGAATTTAAGATTATAGAACACTTTTTTGCATTTACAGTCCATTTCTAAAACAAACAATAAACAGAAGCATCAAGCACAAGAAAGGGTGGGGTGAGGCGCTGATAAGTGACAGCACACTCCGTATTACTGGGAGAAATTCTTCCTGGCTCAAAAAGTAATGAGGTCATATTCCATCTTTAAGCAGCACTGGGTCCTTACAAAAAAGACATTGTTCAGGATGCAAATGCTGCAATCCCACAAATGCCCTTCTGCTGCCCCCCACCCTGCTCGTATCTGTTCGTGTTAAGCAGAGAGAAGAGGGCTTCACACACCTGCCTCTGGGCAAGGCTATGTACTCCCTGGGTAAACAGATCTACGTTCAAGAGGTAGCATCCATGGCCTGCTCCCATCCACAACCACCACCACCGCGATGTGGATGAGCTCTGAGTCACCAAGAGACAGGGCAGCAACAAGCTTCCAATGCTAGCCAACACTCTTCAAGCAGAGTCCTCCCAAGACACAGCCCATTCACTTACGGAGGAAACAAGCACTTTGTGGCCTTACAAAATGTCCCCTAAAATGCATGCACGTTTGACTCAGCTGCAGGAGGGTAACCTAAGGTTACCAGACGTCTCCGTTTCCCGGGGACAGTCCCCGGATTTACAAATCAGTCCCCATACAAAATCCATTGAAGTTGAAAAGTGACCCCGGATTCATTAAAAAAAAATCTGGTAACCTTAGGATAACCTACTATTCTGGTCACTCAGTTTATGACTGATCCAATGCCTTTGTGTAAAGCTTAAAAGCGGATCCACCAACTCTCCAGCTCTCATTTGAAATTCCCAGTTCCAAAGGGAAATTCTCCAGGCATCACCAAAGCCAATTTCACAATAAAAACAGGGGGGGACGTTCAGAAAGGAACCAACAAAACAATGGAAGCAAACACGCAGCATATTAAACCGGCAAATACAACAAAACGTATTTGCTAAGTAGCAGGTAAAAAGTTGTTTGTTTGTTTTTTTAAAAAAGGTCCTGGAACTGAATGGAGCTCAATAAATTTTCCAGCAAAACGAATTCCACATCCTGAGTAACATCAGCCACACCCTTAAAGGCAGTGGAGGCTTGTCCATTGGTGCCGCAGCAGTTGGCAGAATGTGCAAAAGGGCCTCAACGGGTTATCAAAATTGACAGGTAGTTTCAAATAGAAGTCATGGTCCTTGACATATCATGTCCCTAGCAGGGGCAGAGAAGTCAGTTTCCTTTGTTGCCATGGCTGCCTAATGTGAGTTTTAGCCAGGGGTCAGCAAACTTTTTCAGCAGGGGGCTGGTCCGCTGTCCCTCAGACCTTGTGGGGGACCGGACTATTGGGGGGGGGATGAACGCATTCTGATGTCCCACAAATAACCCAGAGATGCATTTTAAATAAAAGGACACATACACATTCTACTCATGTAAAAACATGCTGATTCCCGGACTGTCTGCGGGCCGGATTTAGAAGGTGATTGGGCCGGATCCAGCCCCCAGGCCTTAGTTTGCCTACCCATGTTTTAGCTCATTTTGGGTCAAGGTCACCACAAGGTTTTCTTCTGTGATTCCAGACACATTCATCTGAATCTCTGCCATCGGCTGCCCAGAAACCAGGTGGAAGCAGATCTGACTTTAACCAGGGGCGTCAAGGATCATATCCCCAATCCCAACCCACTAAAAACCCTGTACTTAATGCTTCGTAATTTAATTATTACCTTTCACTCCATTTACCATGAAACAGCAAGCACCTGTTTCATATTGGACCAAGAAATATTTTTGAGGGCAGGTGAGTGGGTGGGTTCACAGAATAAAGCCATATTAAACTTTGCATGATAAAGAAAGAGGGAGTAGCTGTTATGAGTCTGTGGCTTTAGCCATTATGTTATTTTATGACCAATGGTTCTTTGATTAATGTGCAAGCTCTTTTTCTAGCTACTGTTAGAAATATCCCTGCCCACTCCTGAAGGGTTGCTTAAGAGTTTGGCCTAACAAGGCCATCACCTTTCTTGTCCTCCCCATGGCACCACTGCCTTTAATAGGGTGTACCAGGAGAATGCTAAACAATGAAGCTTTTGCAGTAAATTGCAGGAGAATTCAGGGATCCCCTGAAAAACGACTTGAATGAACTGGATCCCCTTGTGCACAGCAAGAAAAAAATATTTCCTTTGGGTTGGGGCGGGTGTCATGTTGCAGATCCCCAAACTGCTTGTCATTTTGAGTACCACATGTTTTCACATTTGGTTCTGTTGTACGCTAGTTTCATTTCTTTGACAGTTAAATCTAATAACTCCAAAATCTCCTGGCCTCTTTGAGGCATCAGGGCAGCTTACCAGTTTTGATTTTTATTTAACTTATTGAGAAAGCTCTTGCTGTCTGGTCTACTTTCTGCTAAAGGAAGCTGGTATAAGTCATAAAATTACGTTATTAAAGAGTAATATACAGCTTGGATAATATAACTGACTATGGTCATATAATTCTTTTCAAAACGGGACACTTTTAGTCCACATGCTCTGGAGCTACTCTAAGATGTCAATGCCCTTACTACATCTCCAACACTTATTATGAGGATGAAGCCCCAGTTTTAGATGCTTGGAGACCAGTGGGTCCTGAGCATCATTTTCTGTTGAATTAGCCTACCTGCCCTCCCTCCCTTTGATAAAAAGGGAAAGATTGGAGGGATGAGGGCTTGGGGGGGCTTTCCATGGGGGGGCAGATGGAGGGGAAAAGATTTAGCTGGCTACCTTATGCTAAAATGGAAGGTTGGATACTGTGTGAGAATGGTGCAAAGGATGTTTGTCAGTAAGCAGTGCAAGCAAATGCATGTCTACTCACAAGCAAGCCCTACTGAAGTTAATGGGGCTTGCTCCCAGGAAAGTAGTTGTTTAGTTGAACTTAGTAGGGCTTATGCACACACAGATTCCACTTAGACCTCCGAGTGGGGAAGCAGATGCAACCTGACTAGTAAATCACTTAAACTACTCTTAAATTAGTTGAAAATATATTAAATAAATTATATGGAAGTTTATTTAATATTTTTAATAAATCTACTACTTATTTACATTTTAAAGTCCTCAACCTCCATGGGAAGGCCCAGCGCGGCCCTCCACCACCGCAGGAAGCTCTCCACTGCCCCAGGGAAGTGCAGTGCAGCCCCCGCCTAACAGAAAGGTGGGATGGGGCCCTCCACCTCTGTGGGGATGCCCAGGGAGGCCCTCTACAGCTGCAGAAAGGCCCATCAAGGCCCTCTGCTGCTGTGAGGATGCCCACAAAGCCCTCCGCTCCCATGGGGAAGCGCAGCAGGGCCCTCCACCACTCTGGATTGGCCCAGAAAGGCCCTCCATCAACATGGACAGGCGTGGTGAGGCCCTCCACTGCTGTGAATAGGTGCAGTTATCTAAAACTTCTGGAGGGTCGCAGCTTGGGAAAGGCTGTACTATATGCTCACTATCAAATCCAGAAATGGTTGTAATAATCGGCAGAGCAATATTTCAGGTTTGTCCTAAAGCAGGGATAGGGGACCTGTGGCCTCCAGATGGTGCTAGAATGCAGCTCCCATCATCCCTCACCAATGGTCATGCAGGCTGCTGGGAGATGGAGGCCAACAACCTCTGGGAAATGCCAGGTTAGCCACCTCGGTCTGAAGTCTAACCCTAACCCAATTGGGCACCTCAGGTGACGCCGCACCAGTTGGTATTGTTTGCTTATTTATCAGATGCCCATAATCTCTCAGTGCTGCACAATAACACAATTTAAAAACACAAATCCCACACAATGTAATCAGACACAATGCAACACTTAAATCCAATCAAAAAAGGCAGCCGGACTCAAAATGGAGAGTAAGCATAATGCTGGCTCCGTCATTTAACCTAATCCCACAGAAAGCTCCAACAGACTACTCTCAGGCTTTGGCAAAACACACACACACACACACACACACACACACAGAACACACACCCTAATTGGAGTGATTGCATCAAGGAATCCTATGTGCCCTTCCTGTAGCTTCTCAGAGAAGTTATTCCAAAGTAAAATAAATATTCTGAAGGAGAAAACCAAAGCTATTGTAAAGAGAGTCTGACGTCCCTCAATGGACTCCCTTGCCTGCTTTGCCTAGACCTAAACCAAGGGTGAGGAGCCTTTTTCAGCTGAGGGCCACCTTCCCTTCTGAGGGTCACATGCCTACACACTCTCAAACACCCCAATAATCATTATCAGAGTTCAAGGACACATTTCAGGCAGGCAGAAACACTCAAGGAGGGTAAAGGTCCGGCTGTTGAAGGGTGTGGGCTGAGGAGTTCCAAAGAACCACAGAGAGCCCCAGAGGGCCACATTCAGCCCCTGGGCTAGAGGTTTCCCACCCCTTGACAGACCCAGAGCAGGGAAGTAACCAGGAAAAAACCTTTCAAATTCAGGAGAGACAATATGTTCAGGTTTTCCATGAGTTCAAGGCAAAAATTATTTACCAATCTCACTTGCCACTGTTACAGAGGAGTGGGCTTGGACTGACACCTGAAAGGATTTGGAGACTGGAAAAAGAACTGAGGATCAGAGAAAAGAACTGAATAGATTGAGGTTTCCACAACGGACTCCTAAATGAAGCTGAGACATTAAAAGTGCTCTGCCCAGGAAGCTGGCCCTTACAGAAGGGACTGCGGCCTGTGCTAGAAGAGGAGAAGCCTTGGGGGCCTTATAGGCTTGCATAACACAAACTTTTACCCACCTTGATAAAGATGCTGTCTCAACCTTTTTGCCTGCGTTTATTGTGTTCTGACAGGTTACAAATAATGACACATCTGTCCTAAAAGGACCCAGCCTGGAGCTGAAAGTCCCAACTGTCCAAACATCTCATCTGCTCTCCCTTCTTCAGAATGAGGAGAGTGATCATGAAACATGGAAATCCAGGTTTGGCCTATGGACAGTCTTAAAGCCCCCACCCCTCCCCAAATTCCAATACTCTACCTGTTACAGTGAAAGTGAAAAAGGCAAGAGAGAATTGACTAAGCAAATTGGCTTAAAAGCTGGATTAGTTACAGTGTGAAGGGCCACATTTAAATACCAGAAGGAAATACATGGCCTGGGGTGGGGAGGAGCATCACATCTCTCCTAAGCACAACACACATGGATGCATGCATGAGTGTAGTCACCCTGGTGCAGCAGAGTATTGGGTTTAAAACAACTCAGGCTATCTCACTGAAGAACAAACCAATCCAGATTGTGCCACTGGGAGGACAAGTCGGATCTGCAACAAAACACTGCAGTGTGTCAAGAGCAGCAAGGAGAGTTCCTGCCCCCCTCAACCCCCACCTCTCCTCCAGGGTAGTTCTCTTAAGCTGTCAGGGACTTGAGCAGGCTAATTCCCTTAACTTCCCTGCCCCCATCTCTAACCTCCCGCAAGTTGCCACCTCACCGTCCAGAGAAGCCTATTTCATATTTTGAGGTTTGGGGGAAGCACAGAGAGAGAGGCCTGCTGAACAATTTCTTGATGTGTCTGCTGTGTCTGAAGACAAAGAGCCCATTATTAGAGTGCCAAAGTAACAGACCAAAGGTCAAAGATGTGCTTGTTGAGTGCCTTGTTATTTCCTGGCTTCATGGAGGAGCCTCAGATTGGCATCCATAATCAATATATCCTGCTGCTCTGTCACTGAGGTCCCCCACTTTTGGCTAAAGATTTGCCCACCCACTAGGGTCAAGGAAGCAGCAAGATGAGACGAATCTTGAAGGAAACCTTTGGCTCTGCAGGTGTTACTGAATTACAACTCCCATCATCCCTGCTCACTGTTTTCTGCTATCAAACAACAGAAGGAAGGAAGCCCATGGCAGGGCCTTGATATTTGAAACAATGGATCCCTAAAAGAGGGTGACTATTCTGATCTTGATTGACCTCTTGTGTTGAATTCTGTTGATCAAGGTCATCAGTCTAAATTCCCTGTTTGGAGGCAGAATTATCTGGTGCACCACTGAGTACAGAATCACCCCCAAGTGTTGTATTAATTGGATTGGTTGGGAAAGAGAGGGGGGGACTGTTCCATTTGACCAGGAAGACAGCTTCTAGTGCTGGACTTGAAGCTGAGAGACTGGCGTTCAATTTCCCACTGATCTATGAAACTCACTGGGTCACCTTCAGCCAGTCACCATCTCTCAGTCTAACATACCTCAGAGAGTTGTTTTTAACATAAAATGGGAAGAGGAAGAATCTTGTATGCCACCTTGAGCTCCTTGGAGGAAAGAAGGGGTACAGATGTAACAAATAATAATAATAATAATAATAATAATAATAATAATAATAAGGCAATTTACTTATGGACATGCTAGGTATGGCACTTTCACACCAAGCAATCTCAAGTGGCAGGTGGTAAAGAGAGGAAGCAAAGATCATCTGTAGGGCACTTGATCTGCATGCAGATTGTGCCATGTTCCATCTCTAGGTGAGGCTGGGAAGAGCCCTGTCTGATTTTCTCCATCAGTCAACATTTGTAAGTCACCATGTGTGAAGTGGAGAGCTCTAAAAGTTAAAACCTGATAGCGAGAATGCACTGAGACAAAGCAAGGAAACCTCTGATGCAATATTCTCATGAGCACAGGGAAATAAGCATCTCTTCATGCCATGAAAACCACCCAATGGTGCCATTGTAGAGGAGGGCAGACCTCTATGTCACAGGAAGGTACCTGCACATTCTCCTTGAGGACTACTGCTGTACACCACAAGTCTCTCATCTAGTGGGACTGTCTATACAATGCACTCCTACGATAATCCTAAAATGTCCTGGAAGGGTAAGAAAGTTGATTTTCTTATGCGATTTTTATTATTATATGGCAATCTGTTAATAACGAATTGTATCCAGCTAAATTCTACTTAGAGAAAATCCCATGAAATTAAGGGGGCTATGGTTGAAATTACTCTACATGACTTGCACAGGCCTACTAATTTCAACAGGTCTATTCTGAATATGAGTATTGATAAAATCCAGTATGTTTAGGGTTATGACTATACAATTCTACGTCAAGATTCCTGCAATGCAGGGTGTTGTAGTAGATGACCCTCTGGGTTCCTTCCAGTTGGATTCTACCTCAATAAATCTGTGGACTTCTTAAATGCAATTCAAATTGTGCATTATTGTCTTTAGAGTCAATCCACTTATAAAAAGCAGAAAGACATCCTACCTCCAGAGTAGAAACACGCCTATATAATTGTTGTCACCATGTAACAATATTGCCAAGAATTAGTGTGTCAAATGAATAAATCTTCTCTTCAAATTCACTCATACATAAAAATAAGCCACTTCCAGGCCCATGAAAGATCCCCACTGCAACACACTTAATTCGCCGATATAACTTCTCGTTAAATGAGACCTAATTGCTGTTAGGAGAAGAATACATGTTGGGGGGGTCTGATTTGCATTACATTTGTTGAAAGCCTCCATTGGTGGGACGCTGGTGTGTAAGAAGGAAAAGCCAAAGTACATGGTGACTAAACATTCTGCATGTGAAGGGGGTACAAGGAAGACCCCAAGCTATTGCATACAAACTTTTCTTTCGCGATGCACAGTTGTCTGCTTTCTTATTTCTTCTCTTCCAATATTACAAAACAAAAGTCCTCACCACAATGGCCATGCCTGGAGACAGAACTCCAGTACGTGTTTTATTAGGAGATGCATTTTCTCACCAGCCAACTGTTGTGTTCTTTTACTTTGAAGGTAATCTACTTGTGTGTCCCTTAGGAATGTTTAAGGTTTATTTCATGGTTTGTAGTACATGAGGGTTCCTTAAGCATCTGGTGAAGATGAGCATACGTTCTGAGGTCTTTCGATTAATAATAATATTCACTGAGAAGAAACACTGGAACTTATCAGGAATTACACATACATAACATTGGCACCTTATAGTCTCTAGAATAATTCTTGCAGGGGAAGATACCACACACTTCCTGCTGAGACATTTGACAGACGCAGACAGGATCAAGTGTGATGTTCCTAGAGGCTAACTCCAGGCCCTGTATGTTAACAGGCTGCCTTCTATAAGCCTGAGAGGCATATAATCCACCTCTGGAATGGCACCTGAGGCAATCTGGAGAAAATACAATTAAAAGTTTTGCACATGTGTCAATCCTATCACAATAAAGGGAATGTTTGCACATAACTGCAATCTCCTCTTGTATGCATGGACTCCTATCACATAACTAGTTTACTTTTACACCTGGTTTCTGGATGGCACGAGCAAGAACTTCTGAAAATAAAATATCCAGTAAGCCTTAAAGAAATAAAAGAGAAAACATATTACAACATTAAAATCTCATGTGAAGTTGCTGAATAATAGAGCATAAATTATTTGAAGATTTTCATACTGGTGAAGTTTCTAACTTTGTTTAAACCTTCTTTGGGGTTATTGGAGTGTCATTCAGACCCTCACATTTCCCTTCTCACAACTTTCTAGTCAGAAGCACTGCTAGCTGGGTTTTTGAAACAATTTCACATGGGACAAAACTGAGGACATAATGTTAAATGAAACGGCAATGCTTCTTTTTTTAAAAATGCTTGTCCAAAGTTGAGGACAGGATTTTGCAGCATCAAAGCCAGATGCAGAGCAACCACTGTTCCAGTTGTCAAATTATTTTCCTTCTGCAGTATTTAATGTAGAAGCAGAAATGAATTTCCTCCTCTAATAATTCCCCCACAAACACACACCTACCCCCTCATCCCCGCAATTGCTCAAAAGGGCCTGGGAGGAAAGGGATTTTCTGTTATGTTGCATGAGGTTACTTACAATTCCACAGAGTGCATGAGACAGAGATTAAAATTATCCTCTAAACACACCATTAAATTCTTCCTGAATGGCTTTCAGCTGACAGTGAGAATTATTATCTCTTTTATGAATAGGGAGGCAAACTGAGAGTTTCACCAAGTTTTTTCCTTTCACTGTTACCTATTAATGACGCCTGAAAGCAGAATTAAATTGAAAATATGCTTGAAATATAGAACTGGCACGCCATAGCCTCTATCCATGTCAAATGACAAAGTGAGGCTATGAATCAGCAAATTAAGGTTTGAGTGCAAAAGCCACAATGAACTTTGCTGGCTCCTGCTCATTTCAGTGGGGCTCAGGGAGGACTTCCCTGTGTGAATTTGCACTGCAACAAACAACAACTTCTTCAGTTCTTTGACTCTGAAGACAGTCCACATTGAGGGTGCAAATCAAGGGCATTTGGAAGAGAGAAATCCATCTACAAGGTGCAGAATTAAAAGTTGTCCCTATTACTCAGTCACAAAGCAGTGAGCATTTCACACCTCTCTGAAGACATTTATGTATCCTCCATTTTATTTCATGGGCCAGCAGTCACCTCATAGCACCATCCTGCAATACTGTGTTTTCTTGGAAGCTAGTTCCTCTGCATTCAAAAGGCACTTATTACCTATGAAGTTCACTGACAACTGCAAGCGCAGTATTGTTAAGTGTTGCAATTTGTGCCAAAAAGGTCTACGCAGCCTTTCACCTCTATTAGACTTCTGCTATTCCACACTCATGGGATTCAGTATCACAGGTGGTGTTTGGATTTCAGTCCTGTCCCTCTACATTTCAGGGGAAAAAGAAAAATACAATCCATCCTCACAGCAATGCCCATGCAATACTCGCATGTTTTTCAACAGAGCTGGACTGGACCCCCCAGGTTTCTCTCTCACAGATACACAGACACATGACTGAAGTGTTTAGGAAGTGTCTGTAAAAGGCAGCAGCGTTCAGAAGGTAGAAGCTTTGTGACTTGTAAGCTTGACTGGCAAATAGCCCCTCCCTTGAGCTTACCTCACACTAACACACCACTGCACATTAGTCTTCGAAAGCTACTGGCCTGCAAAAAAAAGAGGTATTAGCCATGCTGGGGGCTGGCAGAAAAGGGAGAGGGAATTTTACTGTATTTCTATGCTGAGTGTCTAGGAAGGGGCTCATCTCTTCTGGCAGGAGGGGGAGGACACTTTCTTCCACCACATCTTTCACCAGCTAAAAAGGAGCAAATCTGTGGAAGGCGTCCTGTGAGCAGCTGTATGAGACAGAGTCGTCAGCTACCTCCCCCTGAGGTCATGCCACTTAAGCTTCAGAACCTCCAAGAGAACTTTAAAGGGCAGTAAATGTGAACTTCACTGGAGCAATTGGTGAAGCATTAGAAGTGGTGTCATCTTAAACCTGAGGCACCGAAATAGCAATGAACAAGTAAGGGCTCTTTGCAGGGCCTCTAATGCTAAGGATGGCCATTCATCGTGCCTGTCTCATTCAGGGTGACACACAAGAGATGCTGGTTCCTCTGGGTATCCAGGGCCTGTTCAGCAGAGCAACAAACTAAGAGGCAGCTCCTGTGGAAAAGGCTGCAGAGCACACGGAAAAGATTTCTGCATCCAGACAAACATCTACTAAACCTATCAGAAGAAAATAACTGATGTTGTCAGGCAGCTAGCTCTGTTTAACAAACACCTTTGCAAAGTCTCCTCTAGAAAACCTATTTTTAAAAACCTCTTCAAGGAGGTTATTGTAATTTATTAAATTTATATACCGCCCTATAACTGCAGGTCTCAGAGCGACTGACTGGATAAAGATATAAAACCACAAAATACATAATCAAAAATAAAAACAAAATAACCCAATAACCCCCCAACACATTTTGAAAGGGCATACGATGTCAATCAATCAAAAGCCTGGTTAAAGAGGAACACTGGCGCCTAAAGGAGTATAATGCCTAAAGGTGTATAATGAAGGTGCCAGGCGAACCTCCCTGGAAGAGCACCCCACAGTCAGGGAACCACTGCAGAGGCCTGTTCTCATGTTGCCACCCTCCAGACCTCTTGGGGAGGAGGCACATGAAGGAGGGCCTCAGAAGATGCTATCAGGGTCCGAGTGGGTTCATATCGAAAGAGGTGGTCCTTGAGGTATTATGGTCCTGAGCACTATGAATTAGTCCTGGAAACTAATTGGTAGTCAGTAAAGTCAGATGAGGATCAGTGTAATATACTCAAATCGTCTTGTTCCGGTGAGCAACCTAGCCACTGAATTCTGCTCCAGCTGAAGTTTCCAAACTGTCTTCAGAGGCAGCCCTACGTATAATGCACTGTAGTAATCTAACCTTGAGGTTACCAGTGCATGGTTTACTTGTGCATCCTAATGATCAAATGTGAGAGGAGACAAGGGGCAACGATGGATTTGCACTTTTAACTTTGAGGGGTGGGGGGAGATGGGAGACCCAATCTAAGCAACAACCACCATACACTGAGGAGTCAGGATGCAGAGACAAATTGTGTCCTATGTATCTGAAGTGCAGCCTGTTTTTGGCATATCAGCTTCAAGTCACTTGAGTGGCAGAGCACAACTGCAGTCATGTTTACTCAAAAGTAAACGCTATTGATTCTCCTCCTTTGCTGCCTGTTTGTTCCTGACCTGCTCTCTTGGGCTGACTCCCCTGGTTCTTGATGCTGACTTGCTGCTCCAGTCCTTCCCGTCAGCCCTGAATATCCTGCTTGCATCTGACCATGCTCCAGTACCTATCCTGCTGGACAGGCTCCAACTAAGGCTTCCTAGTGCAAATCTAACCATGGCAGGCCTGCCTACCCCTTGGTATCTGGAAGTTGAAATCTATGGAATGCTGTCAGGGTATGGCACTGAACAAGACGGCCCAGTTCACACAGCCCTCAAAGGCTAGGGTGACCAGAGAGCAGCCAATCTAATAAAACACCTACAACATCTATCACCTACAACATGTGAATGACACACACAACAGATTTAGCGGGGGTGGGGGTGCGGACAGCTTCATGTGCAAGCACCTCTCAGATCAGCTAAAACTAGAGTGTACCAGAAAACAAGCTATTATCGATTTGGAACAAAGTGGAACACTGCTTGAGCACCAAAGTAATGGGATAATTAAAACGAACAATGTTGGGAAGGTAACACCAAAAGCTGCTTGAATTCTGACATCTCAGTTAGCAGAAATCAAGGGTGAGGAAATTCATTTTGCACCTCAAATCTTTCATAGTAGCATAGTCTTAAACTGAGTCAGACCACTGGTCCATCTAGCTCAGCACTGTCCACATTGACTGGCAGTGCGTCTCCAGGGTAACTAGCAGGAGCCTCTCCCAACCCTACCTAGAGATACCAGGAATTGAACCTGGGGCTTTTGATGCAAAGCAAATATCCCAAAGCCTATTTGATTTGCTACGCTAAGTCACATACAAGATATAAATCCCTCAAACAGGAGAGAAAAGATGAACTAATGAGATTTTCATTCATGGCAGTGTTCAAAAGGTAATTCATGGCAAATTCCCTTGAGAAAACAGATCAAGCCAGTCAAAAGAAGCAGAAAGGAAAAACAACTAGAACTTGAAGATCAAGCACATTTAAAAATCAAGTGAGATGGTAAAATCAGTATTTTTCACAATTGGTGGTGGGGAAGCTCAAGAAAGAAAAGTTATAAACATGTCCATGTTTTGTTTTAGCATCTAGGATGTGGAAAGATGTTTAGAAACTGGCTGGTTTACACAAAAAACCTGAATTTTTAAAAAGCAGAATTGTGTGACCAGAAATGCTAAATTCTGCCAAACATACTTAGCAAACCAAGGAAATCATGCTGTTACTTTTCATAATTCTGGATGCGGAGTTTGCCTTACGTTGCCATGGCATTTTCTTTGCTTCCTAATCCCAGATTCTAAGCCTCTGTGGACTGAACGAGCCAAACTACTACAGTTTTACATGTTTCTGAAATGTACCACTCTATTCAGACTACGACTCCCACAAGAGAGAAAAAGCAACTGGTCCTGCTTCACCAGGGCAGTATGACTCCAACATTTATCCCTCCAACCCTCACATGATTGAATAGAACAACTTGTTAACCAACATTTGGGGAGAAGATGAGTAAAAACAAACACACACAGCCATTGTTCTTCCAGCCTAGTGGAAGGCATGCATCCCTAGCAAGGTCCAGGAGTCAACTTCCTCCTCTCTCCCTGCATTTCAATAAATTTCAAGAGGCCAAAAACACCATCTATCAGACAGATATTTCAACTAATGCTATTTGGCTAAATTTCAAAGAAACAGATTTTTCTTATAGACAATGTATCAGCTGCAGGTTCACACAAAACTACTTTGGTGCACTTCAATAGAGGCTTTGGGCTTATTTTTCTTGAACGCTCACACAGCAAGTTCTTTGTGACCTAATGTTAAATTGGAGCAGAGGGTTAACACCTCAGTCCAAACTGACTGGGAAGGATGACAAAGGAAGGTGGTTTTAAGGTACAGTGGTACCTTGGGTTAAGTACTTAATTTGTTCCGGAGGTCCGTTCTTAACCTGAAACTGTTCTTAACCTGAAGCACCACTTTAGCTAATGGGGCCTCCTGCTGCCACCGCGCCGCCGCAACACAATTTCTGTTCTCATCCTGAAGCATAGTTCTTAACCCAAGGTACTATTTCTGGGTTAGCGGAGTCTGTAACCTGAAGCGTATGTAACCTGAAGCATATGTAACCCAAGGTACCACTGTACTTCTCACTTCCAAACACTCCAATCCCTGTTTTGCAAATACAGTGGTACCTCGGTTTTCAAACATCTCTGTTGACGAACACTTCGGTTTTGGAATGCTGTAAACCCGGAAGTAAATGCTTCAGTTTTCGAACACACCTTGGAAGGCAAACATGCTATTGCAGCTTCTGTATTGAGTTTTCCGTATTGAGTTTTCGGTTTTCAGATGTTTGGGAACTCGAACAATCTTCCGGAATGGATTACGTTTGAAAACCAAGGTACCACTGTATGCTTCTCTTCTCAGTCAAGAGGCACAAACTGAAAAAATGGGTGGAGTTAACTGCAGGTATAGGGAATGCTTTTATTCCCTACCCATCTCCACCTTCACCCAAGATCCCTTTTACAATGGATCGTGGGGACAGACAAAAGTGGTTTGCACTACTTATTTCCAAGAAAGAGCCAGTAGAACATAAGAAGAAAACAAAAATGATTTATTGGGTGTAAAGATTAAAAATTAGCCACCCTCAAAGTGTTTTGTTAAACCAAGACTTCAGTATTTATCTGTGCTCATTAGAACTAAACAACTATTATGCAAGTTGATTACTCAGCAAAACAAGCAGCTTAGCATCTCATCTGAGCCCAACAGAGTAAGGCAAGTGAAAAGTGGATGGAGAACAGTTCTGCCTACAGAAATGCTACCATTTCTCTGCAAAAGTACCTAGATTTGCTTTTTCAACTAAGTCTAACTGAGTGGTAGCTGGTGCTTATTGGGACTGATAAGACAATGGCAGGCAGAGTCAACTAATTCTAACTTTCTCTCCACCCTCCTCCGTGCTGAATTCTAAGAGGATGACAAAGTGGAGGAAGCTCACAGCCAGTGCCATCAGTAAGAAGGGAAGCAGGTGAGGGCAGGCTGGGCGAGGTTGGTGGATCAGAGCCCAATTTGCCCTGATAGACCAGCCTCCACCGGCCTTACTTTCCCAAGGAAATTGCCAAGGGCTTCATTTTCCTCTAGTACATCTTTTCAGTGCTTCTCATAGATTCTGAATCAGTACTGGAGAATTCCAGTCCCAAAAAGTCATGATAGCAGCAGTGACCTTGGAACACAGCCCTCTCTCTGCAAATTTACACTCACTCTTAGAAGCGTCTTTCCTTATATCTGGCCCCCTCAAACTTGCACACAATGACTCACACATTTTGTTTATTTGCAATGATACACGCATGCAAAAAGAAAAAAGTCTCTCAGTAAAATTTCAGTTAAAACATTTGCCTCCATCTAGAATGTAGCTGGGTAGCAGGCTTATAAGCAGCCACTTACATCATCAAGAGACCAAACAAGAAGGATTTTAGAAATCTGAACAGTTTCTTATCCTCCTTTCAAGCAGATGATGTGATTAGCAGAGATGTAGGTGGGCAAGTAAAAAGATGGTTAACTACCAGCTTTTGTGCATTTGTTTGCAAGGGCAACATGTGCATGTATGCAAAGAAATAATGCAACAACCACAAACGCCAGAGTCATAGCAGGCCCCACAGAGAAAACTGATCTTCACAACATCAAGCCACTGGCAAATCTTTCCTAGACTCAGCCTGCATTAACAACAGCAAATATATCCAAGTCATCTGGCCTATGAACATAGGACGCAGCCTAATACCAAGTCAGACTAACAGTCCATCCAATGCAGTATTGTCCACACTAACAGGCAGCAATGGCTCTCCAGAGTCTCAGATGGATGTCTCTTTCCCAGGCCTACCTGGAGATGCTATTTGGGGACTGAACCTAGGCCTTCTGCATGAAAAGCTGCTGCTGTACCACTGTGTTATGGCCCTTCCCAAAGGTCTAACCCTCAATCATGCCTGGAACTTAATCCAGTTAAAAATCCTCTACTCCAGGTGTATTTTCTGCTCGGTTTAACATTTACAAGTTTTATTTGACTTTGTTTGCTATGAAATTGTTTGACAGACAAAAATAATCACCAATTATTTATCCATACAGAAAATAACTGAGGACTGTTGTTGTCAGCTTGGGCATCAAAGTTTGTAGCAAGTTGTAGATCTTTGCATATTTGTTTTCCATTCCTCTAATAAATTATGTTAGTTTTGTGTTTTTCACTACTACAACACTGAGATGATGCTTTAAGTACATTCTCTATCCTCACTTCACATTGCTGAGTAGTTATAGCCAAGTTAGACCCCCAGCCTAAATATATGTGAAGCATGACTCAGGAAGATTATCTTTTAACAGCCACACTGATTTTATTTTTTTTAAAAAAGCATGTCCCTGTGAAGGTTCTCAAGCTTTCTACCTTCAGAGACACCTATGTACTGTACATATGTCTGGTCTTCCATGACACTCTTGTGCATTGCAGTAGATTCTGGAAGAGCAATCAGTTTCCACAGGTCCACTAGCCAGTTTTGTTCTGAACCAACTTGAGGACGCATCTCAGTGCATACCCAATACAATGTGCCCTGTAGCTAAAACGCTGGAGGAGAATATAAGTAGGGCTGGAGAAGCCATCTTGATAACAGTGGACTGCCTTCTGACAGTTCTGTGAAACAGTTTGGCTGCCACTGCACTAACGTATTATCCAAAGCAATCACGCAACACCTTATACATCCAGCAGTGTAATGCATCTTGAAGTGAAACAGGTGTGGCCCCTAGGCGATCTAGTCCTACAACAAAAAACCACAAATATGTATGAAATGATCAGATGCTTCTCTGCCCAATATCAGGAAATAGCTGACCTGAAAACCAAATGCCAAGTCAACGCATACCTTCTTATCAATTAAACACAGTAAGTAAATAGGCAGGCCAGGTGTACAGTCTAGCACCTCTAACAAGGAAACAGTCTGCAAACTCAGAGCTCCCTAGCATGGTATAGAAAGAGGTTCTTAAGGCAATGTACCCCATGCCAGACAATAAATTAGATATCATCATCTAAACAATCAGGGTGGGACCAACATTTCGGAAGTCTTCAAGCCCCAGCCAGCTGATACAATCATCTGACTGCAGCCCAATGTTACATCAGGAATAGAAGCAGTGGCTCAAGTGTGGGGAGTCTGGCCCGATTATTATCTCCCCCACTCTTTGCGGGCAAAGTTCCAAAGAAGGGTGGAACTGCCCACCTGTCAATCACAATCACAATGTCGCAATCATGATAAGATGGCCTCATTTGCCCACAAGGGTCTTCAGATGCCCTGCTTAGAGTGCTATCTTGCCCTGCACTTTGAAAGGGGCTTTGCAGGCACTGCTGATGACTGGTGCCTGCAAACTCCCTTTCAACCAAGCCCTGCCTTTACCTGCCCCACACCTGATATCAGAAAGTAATCCAGAATGAAGCAGGCCACTAGAAGGGGAGGCAAAGGCCAGCAGTAGCAGACAGATGAAGCAGAGAAGTCATGACACATGAGAGGCGCACTCTGATAGAGACAACTTATTGTCCATGGTGGGGAGGCTAACCTTTTTGGGCCTGAGGGCCATATTCACATGTGACCTACTCTCTGGGAACTGAATGCTACTGGTACACTCTTGCATGCAAGCACACACACAAGCAGGCAGCCACACTGCATGCAGATCATCTGAGAAAAGAGGGTTATTGCCTCTTGCCGCTCATAAAATGATCCCTTTGCTGATGGGGAAGGGGCAATTTGCTTCCCTGTTGGGGTGCTAAGCTACACCCATCCAAGCACTATGTCTTCTTTTTTCATTTTGCCACTGTTGCTAAAATTGGTTGGGTCTTGAAGGAGGAAGCACTAGATTACAGACGCAGGAAGCTTTTTTCCAAGTTGTCATGTGTATGCCTTTGTATATATACTCATATGGGTTCAGAGAATTCTTTTTGTAAACCGTAGAACTAAAAGGCTACAAAATAAAAGGTGTGCCATACACCTGGCTAGACAAACTGGTAGAGCAGCAGGATGGCAGCAAATGTCTGCCCACTTTGAAGGGTCTAAAACAAAGAGGCTGGCTGAGGCTTTGATGGAACAAGATTCATTAAGTTCAATGAAGGTAAGACAGAAGTTGTAGGCTACACCAAGACATACACAATCCTGAGGCTGAAGGTTCCGGCTTAATTAACATACAAAATCCACATGAGCAGTTTAAATATTAGAGGAAATTTGAACATTTAAAATGTGCTGAACCAGCAAACAGCCAAGTTCAAAGTCATTCAGCCAGAATACTAGCCTTGCAAGATCTTCAGGTAATATGCTCTCACAGCATCGTGACGAAACAAGACTACCTCATTCTGCACATCACGTGCTACTGTAACAAATATATCTCTGAGAGTTACAAAAGCAGGGTCAGTTGAAAAACCACAAGACAGAAAAAAATAGCAAATCCCAAAAATTCAGAACTTAATGGGTTTTCCCATTTGACTCTAAGCATTTTTTTAAAAGGAGACTATTTCCTGCACTTTCAACAATGTTTAACTCTTCACACAAGATTTTACAAAGTATGTTTCTTGAGAATGGCTGCCATGTGATTGAGGTAAACTGCCTTGTAATATTTACATACACCATGTATACAGGTATGCAATGAGTACAGTGATCTGTAAAAAGAGTAACGTATACTGTACTGTCTTACACACCCTCATCTGTTATCTTCGTAATTTTTCCCTCACGTACCTGTATCACAGGAAGAAATATGTAAGGAGTTATGGGAGTGGCTTGGCATTATGTAAATGAACCTGGATGGATTCTCTCCTCACTGTTTTCCTGGCAGACCATAGCTTGCAACTTCACCCAAACTGGCAAACTATGGTTTGGAAGAAGGAGAGAATTGCTATGAAAGGTGAAGAGGGAGAGCGCAAGTCCAAGGATTAGGCACAGTGCACCAACTCCTATGCATTTAACGTTATATTTTGGTTTAAAAGTAACAGCTTCTAAAATGCCAACACCGAAAATGTCTGGATCATTATTTTAAAGGGGAAGGGGATGATTATGTTTCATAAGAAATTTAATACATAAATGTTCCCATTTTATTTTTTTGTCTACTTTAGATGTTACAAAGTTCAGAAAACACCTGTTTGCTACATGCAAAAAATTAATTTTGATGGTCCACGTTTTTTAAAAAAGAACCCACTAACCTCTGCACTTAGACCCGTTTATTGTTTCTAAAGAAACAGTGCCCTTAAACCCATGATTGAGAATGAGTATTTCTTTGACCTGATGTCTCAGTATGACACAATAAATCTAAGGCGGTGATGATAATGGTTAAAAATAATAAAAGTCTCCAAAGTGTAGAACAGAAAAATATACAACAGAGTACAATAAAATGCAAGAAAACCAATATAAATCACAACACAAGAGGCCTAGAAAAATACCTTCACAAGCTGGAGGATTAAGAAGTGCTCTCAGCAATCCCACATACTAGAAATCTAAACACAGAATGAGAAATACTAAAAATAAAAAAGCTTATTTCACCGCCACCCCATTCTATCTATTCAGGGGTTCAGAAGCAAACAAATAATCCATGTAAACTGTCAAAATTGTCTCTAAACCAAGAAAGATAGAAGCAGGAATACTTACAATACCCATTCCTTCCACAAAGAGTCCAGGACTGCACCCCATGCTTTCTAGGCAGGTGCAATCCATCAAAAGCTTGGCATAAAAAGGAAGTGGCCCCCGGCATACCAACAACATATGAAGGTATTTTGAGAAAATATATGGATGTAACACAGAGGCACATCAGCTTGAATTAGTACTGTACAAATGTTGCAAAGAATTTGACCTGGAAGGTCAAACCCATTGTCAGCCATGCTTGTCCTTGGGCACAAGCAGCTGGCAAACAGTAAAAAGATATATTGTATTTAAAAGGGGTGAGGTCTGAAGTTATAAGCATCCATTTCTTCTGTGGAAAAAACAAGCGTATAGCAGCCTACAGTACTGTAGAAATATAAATGGTAAGAAATCTACATCTCTATGAATTACATCCTAGTTTCCTACTGCGTGGATTCAAGTTCCATATGCAATGATGAGCTACATTCTAGAGCAGTCTTGTTGACACGTTACCACATTAATGGTTTAAACAAAACACCTATCACCTTGAGACAATTCTTGCTAGCCACAAATGGCCAGCCAGGCAAGTTGCCACTTGCAAGTCTGACAAGACTGAAAATATTTTACCCACTTTTAACCCAAATAAGCATCTAAGGACCCATTTCTTAATCTTTTGCTATATATTTGCATGGTGGTAATGCTGCTATTCTGACTCACCTTGGATCAGCCTGTGACCTGCTAGTGGGTCCCAACCCACCAGCTGAAGACCAATGTTTTAAAGTATTGCATTTAGTAAAATAAAGGAATCATACATAATATAGACAGAATTAATGCCAGAAAGTATGTGGCACATTTGCAGGTAACATTCAGAGTTTAGCCAAGAATGAAAGGAACAGTTTTGCTTAATTTTCTCAATTGAAACTTCAGCCACTGCCCCCCAAATAAACCACATATAAAATACGCTCTGTCATGATAAACAGAAAATACCTTCCTCTTGGCTATAGAAATAACCTCATGAAGACCCAAGGCTTCAAAAATGACCTCATGAAGATCTAAGGCTTAAGTTATGGTATTTATCAACATACTGAAGTAATGAATATATTACTCACATGACAAAACAATTTTAATTTCACTCAGTTCCTTGTACCACACCCCTCACTAAGATGCCAGAGTACTTATATGTATTGGTATCCACCAAAGAATATTTTCAACCATCTTGCCAAACAGCAATGAGTAAGATAGTCAAACAAGGTATCATAAGGGAACGAAAACTCATAAGTCCTGACACTTAGATCCCAAAAGATAACTGGATGCACTGAAATGAATGTTTTGCTGCTGGGCACAGCAATTACTAAAGAGAATCAACACAAGGCCTTTTTAATATAGGTCACAGCCATCAATTAGCAGCCTGGGCAGCATGAAAAAAAAAGCCTTTTCCACACTACACACCCCTTTCTCTTGTCACTCTGAAAGAAGCAGGTTTCCAGCAAAAATGAGCAGGCCAATTAAAAGGAAGACATGAAATAAATGTTGCATTCATTTCCACATTTTTTTTAAAGCTTTCATCCAGGGTCTTCACTAGGATGTGATCAGGCCAAATCAATGACAAGTGGCCCCACTGACTGCCATCCCCACAAGTCACTGGGGGAAAGTGTGTCAGGCTGGTCCTGTTACTGGTTAAGAAAAGAGGAAGCAACCCTTCCAAAGGAGGTGATATTATGCCTCCTGATGCTCCACCTCTGAGGGTACAACACCGTTTCCAGGGCTGTGTATGTGGAAAGAGAAAGACTTCTGCAGCACCACAGGCATCCAAAAAGGGGAGGGTATTTCTGGCTCCCCCAGAAGGGTACTGGAACAGGCCTCCAATGGTATACTGACACAACTGGCAAACGCAGGCTACAAGCTGCTTCTCTTTCGTGGGGTGGGCGCAGCTTTCCACTCCCCTATCCTGTCCAGGCCATCATCTCAACCAGGAAATGCTGGTGTACTTGTGCACCCAGTCTTGGGACCCCAAAAAAAAAGTGGGCTGAGGGAAGACAGTCACATACCACCCAGAGGAACATAGCTAAAAATAGGCAGGTGGTCCTGCTGTCTTCAGCTTGGCTCCCAGGGCACAAAGAAAGGCCCCTGAGCCGTAACTGAAGGGGCAACACTTTGCAAATCCTGGCACAGCCTTCCAAGAGCTAAGAATCTCCTCCCCCCCACCCCAAGCAGACCCATTCTATGAGTTATACTACAGAAGGAGACATGTCCCTCTTAAACCCCCTCTTAGCCAGGCCTGTGATTTGTCTTCTACACTCACAGAGCTGGGAAGGGGTCCCAAACTTGGAAAGGTCACAAAACTGATTAACTATCCACTACATATCTAATGCTGAAAACAAACAAACCCTGCAATAACAAATCTCACTTTTAATCACAAGCACTTTTTAATCACAAAAAATGAAACATTACATTTCTGGAGAAAGAACATCACAATTTATCCACTAGCAGCCCTTCCTCTTCACCCCCACTCCTTGAAGCACAAGCAATTCCATTCTGCCTTCCTGTCACCTGTTCCAACCATGAAGAGAATACATCTCTAAGCAATCAACCCACAATATTGTTCCTTTGACCTCTAGAAGGAATACAGCAATCTGGGGTGCTGCCCTCCCCTATTGCAGCACTGCACCCCACCCCCAGGAACACCAATCAACCATGGTGGGCTTCCTGTGATATCTCCCCCTGCTATTCAACTCTATTGTTTTTGTAACATTTTCTCTAATAGGAAGATGGGATATTGTTGTTTTATTGGCCTTTATTGGCATAAGTGGAAGACGGGATATCATATTTAAAATAAATAACAAAGGAAACCTTGATGTGCAGCCCCAAGACATCACTGCCCACACCCACCCATACCCCAAAAAGTATCATGTGAATGGCTAAATGATGTCCTAATCACCTCCTGCTCCCCAATAAAGATGCCCTCCTCTTCCGCCCCATATCACATTCAGATCCTTTTCCTTAGTAGGCACAACACTTTCCAAAGCCCTGACTGCCCACCCACAATAAAAAGACACCACAACCCTGTGCTATATTGTGGGGGTGGGAGAGAATTCTCCTCCATAGAAAACTATCCCTTCACATTATATTCAGATTTTCCCCACTGGGAAAAGGCAATTCCTCACCCCCCCATTGACACTCCCCCCACTCCCCACAAAAACTGAAAACAAAAGAAAGATACACCCTATGTTAGTTATGAAGTTATAGAGGAAGAGAGAGGTCCAACCCCCAACAGAGGTATTACACCTGTCCTGATTCCCTCCCCCCTCTTGAGGACAGTTATCTCCTATTCCTGACTCTCTCCCATTTAAAAGCATCCACGCCTCCTTGTTATTCTATAAGAGAGATGACAAACCCCTTCCCCCTTGTATATACTGTATCCTGATTCTTCCCCAGTAGAGAAAGACACCTCCTAAGCCGCTAGTGCCCCCCATGTGCCATCGAGTTGTATCTATATATTTATATTAATTTCTACACACACACACACAATTCAATATTACACATTACACGTCTCTATATATTTGCCTGTTATATGTAATACACACACACACACACACACACACACACATGCAATACCCATACATAAACACATTGTCTCCAGTGCCCCCCAAAATGTATCTCTGAAAAAGACTGTGTGTGTGTGTGTGTGTGTGTGTGGAGAGAAAGGGAATGTTACACCATACACTACAGTATACACTATACATACACATAAAGATAGATAGATAGATATATACACACACACAAAAAACCCACACACTACATATATATATATATATATATATATACACACACACACACACACACATATACAGTACACACAAATACACAGGCTTGCATAGAGATACAAACCTATACACAGACACACATTCGGAAGCTATACTCCCATGTAAATTTCCAAGGGGGAAGGGAAGAAGATCGCCCCCCCCCCCGGAGACGTCGACCCCTCCCCCCAGGTGTGTGTCCCCTCCCCCCCGAACCGCCGCTGCTTTTTGGAAGGAGGGGAGAGTTGTCTCCTTTTAACCCTTTCCACACCCCTCCCACACCCCCTCCACGACCCGAGGAGGCCCCGCCCCAAGCAGGATTCTGATTCTGCCGCCGCCGCCGCCGCCCTCGTCCCCCGGCCCTCCTCCGCGGAGCGCAGCCGCTCACCCTTCAGGTCCTCCTCGTCCTCCGTGGCCGATGTCGGTGCCGCCGCCGCCAAGGCCCCTCGCCCGGCCTGCGCCCGCCCAGGTGCGGGGAGGGCCGAAGGGAGGCGGGGAGGGCGGGCCGGGCCGGAGGCCGCCGGCGCCTCCCTCACGGGCGACGGGGAGGAGGAGGAGGATGGTGACGACGAAGGCGACACCCCTCGCACCCCACCCCCGAGGGCAACCGCCACCAGCACCGGCCTCCCCCGTCCGGACTCCCCAGTCTCAGTCGCCTCAGTCCCCGCCGCCGCCTCTTTCTCCTCCTCCTCCGCCGCCGCCCGCCCTTCCTCGTCCGCCTCAGCCACTGCCTCAGCAGCCCACCGGGCTCCCTCTCGCGAGACTTGGGCCCGGGCTCGAGCTCGGCGGCGAGAACCAGAACGGGACCATTCTCGTCATCGGCGCTCGCGGACTGACTGGGAGGCGCGGTGATTGGCAGGAGGGAAGGAGGGAGGAGCCAGAAGCGGAGGCGGAGACGGCGAATGGGCGGGCCAGGGAGAGAGATGGAATGCGCGTGCGCACAAGGGAAAAAAGCGAGAGGGTGGGACTAATAGAAAAAACAGACGTCAACTGCTTTTTATCTTCCTCTCACGGCTTGGTGAAGGAGGGTGGGAGGGGAAGTGAAGGGTGCGAGCGCGCATGCGCACAAGGGGACAATAAAGAGAAGGCGTACCAGAGGGGGAATCGCGTTAGAAGAAGAGAGGGGTAGGAGCGTACCAAGCTGTGGGAAACGGAGGGGGGGGAGGAAAGAGAGAGAGAAGGAAAGTGGACCGTACCAAGGGGAATGGAGGGAAAGGAAAGGGAGGGTTTCAATAGCAAAATAAAGAGAGTGTCAAAAGTGCGTTCTTGGAGGGGGGGAGTGGAACGTACTATGTGGAGCAGGACAATTAGGAGAAGGGTTCATGGGGGGGGGGGAAGGAGGTCGGAGAGGGAACCTGGGGTGTACCAAGGAGACCGAATCATGGGGGGGGGAGTTGGGTGTGTACCAAAGGGGAATAATAATAATAAATTTTTATTTATACCCCGCCCTTCCCAGCCAAGACCAGTGCAGGGCGGCTAACAACCAATAATAAAAACAAGTTGATTAAAATACAATTTAAAAAAGATTAAAATACAACATTAAAACATTAGGATGTAGATTTTTCACAGGAGGAGAAAGGAAAAAGAAAGAGGGAATCAAACTGATTCCGAGCCAAAGGCCAGGTGGAACAACTCTGTCTTACAGGACCTGCGGAAAGAAATCGGTTTCCGCAGGGCCCTGGTCTCATGAGGCAGAGCGTTCCACCAAGTTGGGGCCAGTACTGAAAAGGCCCTGGCTCTGGCTGAGGCTAATCTGACTTCCTTAGGGCCCGGGACCACTAGGGTGTTGCTATTTATGGACCTTAAAGTCCTCCGAAATAGAGGAAAGTGTCCCAAATAGGGGGAGGGAGTGTACCCTTTCCATGGAGGCGCAAGTTACAGCAACAGCCAAGGCAACATTTTTCCACCTTCGCCGCATCAAGCAGTTGGTCCCTTACCTTTCCCGCCCCGACCTGGCCACAGTGATCCATGCGACGGTCATCTCCAGGCTTGACTACTGTAATTCGCTCTACGCGGGGCTGCCCTTGAAGCTGTCCCAGAAACTCCAGCGGGTACAGAATGCTGCAGCGAGGCTCCTCACGGGGTCTCTGCCATGGGAGCATATTCACCCAGTGCTTTCAAGCTGCGCTGGCTCCCGGTGGAGTACAGGGTCAGATTTAAGGTGCTGCTTTTGACCTTTAAAGCCCTTCACGGCCTAGGACCCTCGTACCTACGGGACCGCCTCTCCTGGTATGCCCCACAGAGAGCCTCAAGGTCCATAAACAGCAACACCCTAGTGTCCCGGGCCCTAAGGAAGTTAGATTGGCTTCAACCAGAGCCAGGGCCTTTTCAGCACTGGCTCCGGCCTGGTGGAACGCTCTGCCTCATGAGACCAGGGCCCTGCGGGATCTGATTTCTTTCTGCAGGGCCTGTAAGACAGAGTTGTTCCGCCTGGCCTTTGGCTTGGAGCCAGTTTGATTCCCTCCCTCCCTCTCTTTTTTCTTTTCCTTCTCCTCCTGCGATGAGGCTACATTTTAATATTTTAATGTTCCATTATTTTAATGTTGTATTTTATTTTTGTTTTTAAGTTGTAATCATTCATCTTGTTTTTATTATTGCTTGTAAGCCGCTCTGAGCCCGGCCTTGGTTGGGGAGGGCGGGGTATAAATAAAAGTTATTATTATTATTATTATTATTATTACCATGGGGGGAATCGTGGGGGAAGTGAAAAGGAAAACGGAGTGTACCAAGGAGATCAATTCATGGGGGTGTTTGCAGAAAAACAAAAACCACATGGGGTTTCTCTTTGCTGGTGAGGAGGCACCCAAGGGACAGAATCATTGTGAGGAGGGAGCCCCCCCAAAAAGAAAGCACTGTGGGTGTTATACTCTGGGAGGAATGAGGAGAGGCGTTGGGATTTGTGGACTCCTCATGGGGGTGACCCCATTTTATCCTGACAACATCCCTGCAGGGTAGGTTAGTCTGATAAATAGCAACTGATCTCAGGTCACCCTGTCAGCTTGGTGGCTGGCTGCAACCATTCCAAGCCTGGCAGAAAGAGCCTGGGCCCAATCCACCAGCTGGCTAGCAACAGAGCAGCTGCTCCAAAGCTCCCAAGTCAGACCATGGGTCCACCTAGCCTGGTACTGCCTGCTCTGGCTGGCAGCAGCAGCTCCCCAGAGCGCCTGGCAGTTTGCCTTTCCCAGCCCTGCCTGGACATGCTGTCTGCGATTGAAGCAGGTGCCCTAACCACTGAGCAGAGACCCACCCTATCCCCTTTCCCTTCTCCTGTCTATGAGATTGTGGGCCTTCAGGCCGGTCCTGTCTTATATTTCAATACATGTGAAGCATTTCGGAAAATGTAGTGCTTTATAAACATTGCATTATATTACCAGTTGTTGCTAATGTTATTATTCATAACAATACGTTTATTTAGCAAAAAATTTTTTGGAAATCCAGGGCGACAAGAGCTTTGCCTCAAATGGCATAAAATATTCATTTGAAATAGCAGTAATATAGGAAGCTGCATTATACAGAGTATTGCCAACAGTGACTGGCAAGAATGCTCCTAGGTCCCAGGGAAGGAGTCTCTCCCAGGTCTTCCTGGAGACGCTGTCGGGAACGGAACCTGGGACCTCCTGCTCTGCCATTGAGCTACGGCCCCTTTCCAAATCGAAGATGAAAGCAGTAGTCGTTTCTATTATACAGTAATGCATCTCTCTGCCAACTTCCTCATAGTGGCTAAAAACCAAGAAGTTCTTCCACAGGATCAGCTCTGCGTAGGCACCAGGCGCTTGCAGGAGGCAGTTCTGCAATCTGCAAAGGACCAGTGAATGCATCAGAGGCTGGCTGGCTGGCTCCCCAGGCTGTGTTGATGGGACTCGGTGGCTTATCAGGGAAGGCGCACGTGTTCACATCAAGCCACGTTGCCGGGTGTTTTGTGGAGACAAGCACACGCAGGGCCCTCCTTGGGGCTCCAGTGGAGACTTGGGCCTCACTCTCAAAATGCACAGATGCACGGCGGACGTCAGAGGGAGGCTTGTGCACCGAGAGATTTCCTTGCAAATCAGGCAGGGTTTGGTTGTCTCCAAAGGGTTCAGCTAGGGCATGGTAAAAAATAGCCCCGTGAGCTTAACCGTGATTATTGGCTAGTAAATCCCATTTATTTCTGGGAGATTGATTTTCAGGTAACGGGTGACCAAATATGTCAATTTCAGCTTTTCTCGTTATTCCACGCGTAAGCTCAGTTATTCGCATTTCCACATCCATTGGGAAATTTAAGAAAACATGAAAATGTGGCCCTCCAGACCTCTCTGTATGGCCCTCGGGACTCTCCTTAGGTCACTCCCTTTTCTGAGCCACCCCCTTCCCCGGCCTAGCTTCATACCCCTCCCATGAGTGTTGGAAATAGGTCTGATTCTGCCTCTTTGCCTGTCCAGATAGAGGACAGGGAAGGGGAGCCAGGTTAGAATGTCCAGCTAGGACCTGGAAGTGACCAGAGTTCAAATCCTCCCACTCAGCCATGAAACTCAATGGGTGCGACCCTGGGGGCCAGTTACTGCCTCTCAGCCTAGCCTACCTCACAGGGTTGTTGTGAGGATTAAATGGGGGTGGGAGGAGCAGAACCAGGGATGATGATGATGATGATGATGATAATAATAATAATAATTTATTTGTACCCCGCCCATCTGGCTGGGTCTCCCCAGCCACTCTGGGCGGCTTCCAACAAAGATTAAAAATATATTAAAATGTCACACATTAAAAACTTCCCTGAACAGGGCTGCCTTCAGAAGGGACACCACCTTGAGCTCCTTGGAAGAAATGGTGGGTTACAAAATGCGCTCTCTCTCTCTCTCTCTACACACACACACACACACACACACACAGTTGTACCTTGGGTTAACTACTTAATTCGTTCCGAAGGTCCGTTCTTAACCTGAAACTGTTCTTTACCTGAAGCACCACTTTAGCTAATGGGGCCTCATGCTGCCGTCGCGCCGCTGGAGCATGATTTCTGTTCTCATCCTGAAGCAAAGTTCTTAACCTGAAGCACTATTTCTGGGTTGGCGGAGTCTGTAACCTGAAGCGTATGTACCCCAAGGTACCAATGTATATAGGTGTGGCAGAGTGTGCAGAAACTAGTCTGCTGTACAAAGTCAACATTTGCATTTCTCTGCCCACTTTGCCTCTAGCCCCTCCCACTGGATGCTGCCGGTCAGTGCAGACGCTGCTGAGCCAGCTGGACCCACTGGTCTGGCTCATGAGGCAGCACCCCAAGTTCTTGGCAGAGCCCAGACTCCATTCCCCCTTTTCTCTTTTTCTGTCTGACTCAGACTGCGCTCTCTCTCTCCTTCATTTGCCTCCTAGCAAGCTACCTGGGTGACGTCATCTCCATCCTGGTGCGGTGGGAGGGAAGGAGGAGAGAGAAGAAGGCAGGCTCTCTTGCAAAAAAGCAGCTATTGCATTTCCAGACAAAGGCCTGGCCATTTACCTGTGATTTCTGCAACAAAGGCTGCTCTCTCCAACCTGGCTAAGGGCATTACATCAGCTCTAAGAGAAGGGGAGATGTGGAGCTGCAGGGCTGAGCTGAGAAACCAGCAACCTTCGGCTCCTCTTCCCCTTTGAAATCTTTTCCATTCCCACTTTGGAACAGAGAAGGAATGCCCAAGCTTGCTTTTTTCCTCTTCCCTCCCAATCCTTTTTTCCTTTTGTGTTGTGTCTTTTATATCATGGGGGTATATCATTATATACTTGTCCTTCCGGCCTGGAATACTTGTAAACTTACGGATTAAAGAGAAACATAGGAATCAGCTTTATAACCAGAGGCAGAACATTGGATC